TTAAACAGACCATTGTATAATAATGGTAGTTTACGCTAACAGTCTAAAATAAAAAATTGTTCTCAACCCCATGCATAAATATGAATATGAATTTTTTTTTGATAAAAAATAAAAAATTTAAAGTAAGTAAATTATTCGGTTCTTTAAGTTAAGATAAAATATATTATATTTAATAATTTAAAATGGGTGATTGTAAATCATATATTTAAGATGATTTTAATTAATGATTATTGATAAAATTTGATCTCAAAATTTTTTTATCAAAAAAAATAAATTTAATTGATTGAATTAATTATTTGTTAATAATATGAATACGAAGTTAATTATATATTTACATGTGAAAATCTGTACGAAAATGAAAAAAAAAAAAAAAGAGAATGTGTTTATGAACATTGGTTGTATACATACATCAAATTCTACATAAAATTTTGCACTAAAATATTAAACATTGAACTAATAAAATATGTACGGCATACAGCAAAGCAGGGAAGTGATGGGCCTTCGTACATCATAATAGATTGGTGGGAGCCTGTGAGAGGGTTCTGCAAAGAAAAAAAAAAACACAAAGAAAAGGAAAAAGAATATGAATAAGTCTTTCCTCCTCTTATTACTATTACATGATTATTTATTTAAATGAAGTTATACTTGTTGTTTGAGGAATGCACTTTCTTTTTTTGCTTATATAAGGTCATATCCTTCCACTTGCAGATCCTTAGGCTGCTTTGGGCTGAGTTTGCTTGTCGTAGTAGAAAACTAAGAACACAAAAATGTGAAGCTCTCTTCATCCTCTCTGTCTGACTCTCCATTGCGGAGAGCTTCCCTCTTGAGCAGTGGCTTTCTTCCTCCCCTTCCTCCCTCTCACTCCCTCTCTCTCTCTCAATCTTTCTTTGTTGGAGCAGTTTCTACTTCCTTTATTTTTACCCATGATCCATTTCGACCTGGTGGAGAAACTTCTCTTGCAAATTGCATCAGAAAATTTGAATTTCTAGCTAGTTGAATTATTCTTTTGATTTGGAGTTTTTAGGGTTACATGGGACATGGGCCATTTTTATTCATTATATACATTAATCTGAAAGTGGCACCATAGATCTCTGTACAACAAAATCTTGCAATTCAAGTGTTATTACTCCTTCATGTTTTCTTGTTTCTGCTTTTTTAAAGTAATTATTCTTTGATGATCAAATAGGTAGGAGAGAGCTTTCTTCAGTCCACTTATGGGTGGTGATGGGATTTAATTAGCTGCCGACTCATTCATCCAAATACTGTGTTAAAAAGGGTCGGTGAAAGATACCCAGTAAATGAGTGAATGATGCGGGAGACAAACTGAATCTTAAACTACCTGTGCTTGGACTGAAGGGAGCTCCCTCTGCTGTTACTTTATCCATTTATAACTTTTATTTCTTCGATCTTTTGTGTTCATATCAGTATAACAATTTCATGAACCAAAGTACTTTGCCTTAAAGTTTTTCATGAACTGTTTTCATAACAGCCAATGCTTTTATATATATATATATATATATATGTATATATCAATTCAAAGCATTTTATTGCTGAGGTAATGTTGGAATAAAGATCATTATCTTTAACTTATTCGTTTGTTCTTCATGGACATTTATCTAGATTATCCCAACTTCTTAGTGGCGGTGGTTTGTCATTGTTTGGCTACTATGAAAGGAGAGCTTTAATTTGCTGTAGAGAATTATGCAGCAGTTTCCTGCCTAAGGCTGAGGTTGGTTCTCTAAAATAAACTGTGTTTTCTTGACCTAAAATAAGTCCTTACGGGGGTAACTATAATTAGCCAACCGTATATTTCATTTGGTTCTTCGAATCGTGGAGGCTGGAACTAATGTTGGTTTTACATCTTGATTCAATCAAGCAGCTCTCGAAAACCTTGAGAGACCAGAAGTTTTAGGGTTTATTGTGAAGCTGCAGCTGCAATTTCTTGTTAAAAGCTACCCAATAAGGCAGCGCTTGGGAGGAGAAACCCGCAAAGCTCACGCTTTACGACAAAAACCTTCTTGGGTCTAGCATGCTTACTGCAACAAGTTCCTAGACATGTTCCTCTGTTCACGTGCAATCACCGAAATAGCCCTTCGGTAGTTTTAAAGTGTTGGACCAAAGGTTTGCCGAAATGTGGCTCACTTGTCCTTGTCCTGAGCTGTATTTGGTGGTTATAATTATTTTCCTTTATATGTGTATTCCATTCCATATATATGATGTACAACGAAGGATTTTGCTGCTTGATTTCTCGTCTAAAATATACGTATATATCAATATATGTGGTAGATAGGAGAGATTGGCTGATGGTTTGGCAGATACCAAGGGAAACCTCTCGACTTTCTCTTGATATCTTATTCTGGTGGAGCTGTGCACATTCGATTCCATTTTTTTGTTTACGGATTACGTATATCCACTTTCTAGTTTCTATAATTTACAAGCGAGAAGTTATAACGAATTGCAATTACAAACAGAACTTCGAGAATGTAAAATGAAAATATAAGCATGCATCTGCCAGGAACATTTGCTGTATTTATGTAGTATGGGAAGTTGCGAATAGGCAGTTTCAATTGCTCTCGGACTATTGAGCATTTCTTTCATCAATTCTTACCATTCACGGTATAATATATTCATGCGCTGGAGCTGTTTAGCAAATGTAATGTGCACAGTAGAAGATAAGTTGTACAAGAGTATATAGTAAAGTAAAATATGTAAAGCAATTGTAAATAAACTAAGCTTCTATAAGAACTTCTGATGAGAAGCTAATTGGCTTTGATTAGCTTTTTATGTGGGATGATGCATGGATTAAAAGGATGGTAATGGCCTGCTCACATTCATCTGTGTGAAAGAAAATGGGAACTTTTGGAAAAGGAAAGAAATGGTAACCAGCTAAGGTCATACCCGAAGCTAACAGAATGAAGCGGATATCTCCTTTTGAGCTGACTTTACATGAAAGCCCTATTTTAACACGAAAAAGAGACATTGGCAAATATATAGGCAAATTTGTTCTTTTCATTGTTATTGGGTTCTTTCCTCTTAGTGCATCCCTCCCAAGGACCAGTGAATGCCAAATGCCGCAGTTCGTCCTTTATCTATGCCTCTTCCTTTCCCCAAACGAATCACTGAAGAGGAGAAAAAACAATTCCCCCACCAAAGATGCTTGATGCTTAGCTCAATCATTTTCATTTAATATTACTCTGCTCTCTTTCTTTTACCTCTCTAAGCCTACGAACACTATGCTAAATATGGATACGAGCTTTTTCTCTGTGTCTCTGTCAACTTTTGAAGAATCCAACGGCTGTTTCTCTTGCCATGACCATCTTTTAACAAACACAAGTGCCATGCATGTAGTTTTTTGTCATTGTTGTCTCATAATTATAATCTGATGGAATGAGAATTTTCCACGTGCTGGTCCCCTAGTGGTCCCCCAACGTTGATTCTAAAAAGAAATTGGATGCCCTAAGTTGGGATTTTGATGATATGGAGTTGTTTTGTATTTTAGTTAGTAAGATCTAAGCATTGTAAAGTTTGATCTTTCCTTTACTCTCTGGGGCCTGGATGTTCCAACCCATTTGGAAAAAGGTTCAGTGTGGATGAACTGGATTATTCTTAATCAAATTCCCCTGTCCAACTCCAACATCATCTTTTTTTAGGGATTCGTTCAAAATTTGTCCCTCTTTTCCATTAGACATGCATTAATGGGATTGATATGCAATATATTTGGGTAGCCTGATCAGAACTACTTAGAAAAGAAAACAAGAAAATGGAAGTGAATATATATGGTATCTTTCTGCTGGCATACAGGCATGATTTGACAATCACAAGATTTAGCTTTGGACCTTTAGGACTACTTAGGAGATGAAAACGATAAATTGTAAGATATCAACACCCTTTGTTAACTTGTCACGTATATGAAATTATAAAAATAATAAATTCAAAATTTAATTCAAATAATTTATACAATTATTTATAAAAGAGTGATATTTAATAAGTTTGAATTAAAATTTTAACACTTATAATCTATCTTTTTATCTTCAAATGTGATTTGAATAAATTTGTTTATACGCACATTGTATTAGCTAATTATATGGTAAATGGAGAAGGCTAATACATGTCTGCCACATTTCCACATTTTAATTTTTTGAATGGTCTTCCAAGAGATAAGTTCAATTATTAAAATTCAAAAGTTTTAGGTTCAAATTTTACTTGTAGGAATGATGTTTACAACATTACTCAAAGTCGAAAAATTGAAATAATCTTAGATAAAATGCTTTTTTTTTTTTGTTTATTACGAAAATGATTAATTCTTGGGAGACTAATTATAAAGATGGACAGTCACATAAATCCAAATCATTCCATAGGTGTAAATATATAAACTTCTCTTTCTTCAATATTTTTAATAATTTAAAATTTAAAATTTAACATTCGTAATATTTTTTTATCTTAAATTACGAAATCTATGTATCAAACAAAATTTTGGCTTATATATTTTTAGCATGCAAAAGTTTGATTATATATATATAATTTCTTTTTAACTTTATGAAAATTAAGATTTGGAAAGGTATCTTCTTTCTCTAGCTAATCATGCAACTTCAACGCGAAACAATGATCAAACTCTCCAAAAGCAATGGAAAACCAAAAATATACCTCGGGTTTCTGAATATTTTCATTTACTTCTAAGATACTAGTATTATTGCCATTCGTTTTTTTTAAAAGGTAGCTTTTCTCGGTTTTTTATATATATATATATATATATAAAAGATATTGTAATAGGAAAATAAAAAAAATTATATCTATTAAAAGTTTAAAGTTATTAAATATTATTTTTTAAAAATAATTATATAAATTAATTAAATTAAATTAAGATATTTGATATTTACTTACACATTAAATATCTTTAAATATCTAAATGACTCATATTTTGAAACGGCAGTTTTTCCAATTCCGTTTTACTTAAAAAAAAAAAAAAAAAGGAGTACGAATTCCCAATTGGACTGCTCCGTTCAGACCAGGCGCTCGATATTTGCAAATTACAACTTCCATGTAGAATAATATGCCTTGCCTGCACCCCACGGCCCACAACCACCTCATTTCTCATTGCACAGCACCAAGTACCAATTTATCGAAACCATACAATAGCCAGAAAAAATCCTGGATGTCAGTCAAATGCAACTAGCATCTGCCAACCTGTGAGGCCAGCCCAAAAAGAGATGTCCAATTATGTCATTTTAAAGGTTTAGTCCTGGTAAAAATAACTGGAACATTGGAGCATAACCACATTCTGCCAAGGAAAAAGGATAAGACACTTTTGTTGTACATGACTTCAACCACAGGGTTTGGGAGCTCAATCATGGAGGGGAAAATGCTGGAGATGTTTGAAGTTGGGCCCTGTGAAGATGACTACCAGCTGGGCTTTCTCATAGGTCAAAGGTTCTGTAATCAGATAAGAAGCAGGTTGGCTGGAGACCTCATTCTTCAAAACCAGCTCCTTCCTTTTGCTCGAACACCACAGGCACAACCACTGATCAAAGCACTCTCAGAAACCAACCAGAAGAAGTTCCCAAGATATTGGGCTGAACTTTTAGGGACTGCAGAAGGAAGCGGCGTGCCCGTTCTTGATGTAGTGCTCACAAACTGCTAATTTCATTGTATATCCCTATCGAATCGGTCACATTATATTCTTTCATGTGCAGATAATACTTATCAACTTCAGAAAGGAGATACTTCCATTCATTTCAAATACAAATATGAGTTCAAATGCTGATACCACAGATGACTGTTCTGATGTTCTCATTGTTAGTGATTTGATGGCCCTAGCAGCTCATAACGAGGATGCAAATGTCGCTCTAGTAGGCCACACGTATGCTTCATTTCCCTGCATCCAGTTCAGATTCTAGGACAGTGCAATATGTACGATAAATAATATTCATAATGTGTATCACATCCACTCTGGGTTTGCAGCTATTTGATCAAGGGAAAACTGTCAAATGGGTTATCCTTCATAGCTTACACGTATGCAGGAGAGCTTCCAAGCTGTGCTTTTGGATTTAACAATCATGGACTGGTAAAATTTCTTACATGCATCATAAATATGTAATAGGCCATCTTATACTAAAATGAGTTGGGCAAGGTTCACAATACGAACCTGACCAGCTGAAGTCTATGGCCACATTGAAAATGTAAGATGATTTAAGAAAGGAAATAAAATTGATTGTTTGTAACAAAACAATAGAAAAAAGATAAACATGATTTTCACTTCAATTTTTACTAGATAGATGTCTTCTAAAGGAGTATTATTTTAGAAGGACTATTATTTTAAATGAAATATAACATTTCCTTCATATGTACCTTAGGCATTCACACTGAATTCAGTGCCCCCAATTGAAGGTGAGATTGTACCTGCGGGCATTGGAAGGAACTTTGTCTCCAGAGACCTTCTTGAAGCAACTACCATTGCAGATGCATTAGCTGTAAGACCCTCTAATATTTGTTAAGTATCTAGTGAAAGATCAGCTTGATCATTTAAGGTACTGATAGCCAGATTAACCCCAGAGAATACACTCATCAGAAGTTTCTGTGGGACACAGTTACAATTTAATTGATACACGAACACGTATGATCTTGAATGTTGAAACTGCATCAAGATCCCGAGTTTCAGTTCATGAGGTTGGAGCAGCGCCATTTTTCCACGCAAACATGTATCTCCATCTTCAGGTTCAGCAGGTAAATAATAAATCACATAAGAAAAGGAATCTTCATCAGGGCAAAAGCACCACACCATCACCATAGTTGTAAGCCAAGTATAAGATTCAGCACATTGGAGCCTATTATACTCCTTTACTGCTAGATCTCTATGTGGCTGCTGAGCTGAATCTCAAAATGCATTTTTGGCCAATTTATTTACTAGGAATAGCAGTGCAAAAGCTTCTTCTATGCAACAAACGGAGATGCACTGTCACATATTCTTATTACTTAGCACAGACCTAATCAATTATATAACTTAATTCCATTACATTGAAACTAAAACCAATGTTTTGCAATAAAGGTATATGATGAAAACTCAATAAGCAGGCAAAGAAGAGCAGCTGTTCTACCACAAGGATCAAAAATGGATTTCCTGTCTCTTCTAGGAGATTCAGAAGACATAAAGTACCCGATCTACATGACAGGTATATATTGAAGTAAAGAAATGTAGAGCTGCTTCTCTTTAATGGCAACTAAGTTAACCCCTATTGGTATTATTTTCAGGTCCAACTCTTTACACGCTATGCACGGCTGTCATTGATTTGGATGAAAAAACACTTACAATAGTTGAAGGAAATCCAAAGAAAGAAAAAGTTTCTCATGTCTTCTCTATGTCTTCAAAAGACTTAAACTGTGATTTGGTCAACTGCACTGAAGGGACTCGTCTCTAGAGCATTTTATGATGGTTCATAGAAGCCAATCATGTGGCCATCAATGCTTCGCATGGCAGCAGCCTGATAATAGTGAACAAACATGGATTCCACCTTCAGTTCACTATAAAGCTAAGCATAAGAATAACTAAAGTGAGGGATAAATAAATAATGGAGACAATACCTTCCCATTAATTTCATATTTGATGGGACCATCTAGTTCAGCTCCTAATGCCATTAATTTTGTTACTGTTCTGTAATGTCATTCACTGTGAATGATAACAGTGAAGAGTATCCATTCTGCATCACATTATTGCTGTAAAAAAAAATGGGTCAGAATGATCTATTTTCAACTCCAAAATTTCCTTTTCTCTCTTTATTTTGCATGGAGAATTGTATATTCACAAAGCTAAGTAAATCCGGGACTACCCACAATCTTCTTTATTTTGGGTATTTCTCACTAGAGTACAAAAGCATTGAGAAATTTATCGAAACTTCCATGTCAAGCTATGGAAAAAGAAAGGTAAAAGTAGTACCAGGGGGATTGCATGAGGGCAAGCTTGAGAGCTCCAGACTGGAGCTCGGTCCACCGAAGCGTGCAGATGTTCACAGAGAAGTCGAGCCCTTTTGAGTACAACTTTGCTGCCATGGGAACGTCATGTGGAGTTGGACTAACCACCAAAACAACGCCGCCGCCATCTCCCTCCTACCTTTTACTTCCTCATTCTCCGTGCTTCTGCACGATTGCCATTTGCCAGCAACTTGGTTTGTCATTCCCTCTGGAATTTGTAAACGGCGTCGTTCTCAATATGCGGCTCAGCCCAAAATAGCAAATGCCACCTTGTCTATTTTATTTTGGGTTTCAAGACTCAAGCCCAGCCCAAACCCCAAAGGTAAAACAACACTTTCCCTAAGGCCCCTTTTGTCACTACGGAAATTAGCAGGGAAAGGAGAATCAAAAGAGCAAAAAATTTTCCAATACCTCGCAAGCCTCAAGATTTTAAATTTTTAATGGGGGGATGGATGACATAGCTGAAATGATTGATTGGAACAAATGGTTACTGAAAATTGTAAATGGACCCAAAATTCATCTGATTAGTAACTATGTTGTGATATTACTCAAATATACAGACATAAAAAAAAAAATTCCAGAATTACAGAAGAAGATTATGACATAGCAACGTGCAGATTATTCTGCATGTTGGCCAGTATTCACATAGCATAATGCCGGACTGCAAGCAACGCAGAAGCAGCCAATCCTGTGAGTTTTTCAGCTGATTGTTCATGAAAGCCTATGACTTGCCCTTGAATATTTTTAATCGAGAACGTTGACCTTTCGACCTTGCTTCAAGAAGCTTCGCCTTCAAAGTGTTCTCCTTCGTTCCTGGAGGTAACTTGGTAGAAGACTCGGATACATCTAGGCCAGGGGATGTGAATTTCGTCATCCATCGTCGCACTGGACTTGGCTGGTTCCTCCGTGAAGGGAAACTACAAGAGGCCTCACCACGATCGTTTTCAGGATTTATATTCCCACCTTCTGACAACGCTATATGGTTTCTTATCAAGTTATCCAGTACATAATTTGAGCTCAGTCCATGTATCTCATCAAGCTTATTCTTTCTTCCCTCGCTGCCATATTGGGTAGCTTCATCATTTTCAAATTTTTGTGATACTGTTATTTCTGTGGTGTTCCCTACGCCAGTATTCTTCTGTTCTGTATCTGCCAATTCGGACTTCTTATTTTCGTTACACAAGGCTCTGGCCATCTTTTCTTCAAACTTAACTTGCAAGCTGGATGGATGCCGACTTTTACTCTTTTCATGAGATGAAGGTTTTTTCTCCTCATGATTTGATTTCATCATTTCCTCGATATTACCAGTTCGAGCTTCATCTTCATGTGGTTTCAAGTCAGCATTGCTTGGTTTATTCAGCTCAAAACAATTCGAATCACTGCCAGCAGAATCTTCCTCATCACAAACATCTTTAGCTGCAGTTACAGCTTCATTTAAAGGGATAGATTCAAGTGACTTCCTGCGATCACTTCGTGACAAATAATCAGTCCGCTTAGAAACAGAAGTACCAATCCGTTTAGCTTGAAGCAAGGTCTCTATTTCAAAGCTTAATTTGTCTACTATTGAATTCTGTTCAGCAAAACCAGACTGAGCTTCTTCCAGCTTCATCTGCATCCGCTCATCAAGCCATGATTCAGATATATGAAGAATCAAACGATCATGGTCAGCTGCTCCTGCCCAATCTTCATCAGATTTCTGTCTCAGAGTATGCACCTCCTGTTCATAGCTTTTTATTCCCCTTGCAAACTCATCACAAAGATCTTCCAAAAGCTTCCTTGATTTCCTTTCTCTTTCAAGGTCTTTCAAGGCATTAGAAAGAGAAGCTTTTGCCTCAGACACTTCCCGAGCTAACTTCCTGTGTAGACTCTCTGAACGTTTTCTTAACTTTCTCTCATCCTCTAGTTCATCCCTCACAGACTGTACAGCAGCATGAATCCGGTCTTGTTCCTTACTCTTCCTAACTAGTTTATCTTCAGCAATCTGCTTCATCAAATCATCAATTTCGTGTCGATCTGCTTGCTTATCTCGAAGTAGCTCCTTGATCCTAACACGGGCATGATCTAGTTCCATCTTCAATGCTTTGATCAATGAGATATTAGATGCATGTTGTTCTTCCAGGCTCCAAATATGATTTAGTACTTTTAGCAGTTCTGTAGATGTTTTGAGATTATAATGCGACTCACCAATCCTTCCCCTAAAATCTAAAGAACTACTAGGGGTGACTGCAGGATTGTAAGGTGCCACCTGAAAAAGGAGTAAGGACATGTAAAAACTCTAGAAGGATGGGATGTGAAAACTAAGTGGGAAAGACCTACTAAGCAAACCATACCATACACAGCAGAGATTTCTAAGGAGGAAGTCTCACAGAAAATTTATATTAACAGAAATTACACCAAAAACATCAGTGCAGAAGTTGACGATAGTCCAAATTTGTTCATGATGGTTGTCATCTTAAGTAACACCCTATTAAGTCACTTCCGAAAAGCTTTTCTAAGACAAGCATGCCATGCTATATATTTCTATGACTGGAATAAAACGTAAGATATATGTAACAAGCAATTAAAACACCATGAACTCCCAACCATGCTATCCAGTAACTTAGAACCTATCTGAATAAGATAAGAGTTAAATTTGAGGCAGAGACTAGAGAGACACTAGTCAGACTATAGTCAATGTGAACCAACTTTGGCCACACATCTGAAGTTTGTCTTCATATGCAGGACTCAGAACAATGATTCTTTAATTCAAGTTACTTTAGTTTAAGTATCAATTGCAGAAAGAAAGCAAATCACCTTTCCTATTCTCTATTTATTCTAAGATAGTACCTTTTTGAGTAGCAATAAAAGAAAATTTACCTCCATTGAGCTGCCATAACTTGCAGGAGATACAGGCTGCAGCGCATGGTTATTTTTTTCAATAGATCGATGGTGTTTCATCAGTGTTTGACCAACATGCCTCCTCAAACTGCTTGTACTCTCTGGCTGATATAAGAAATAAAACAGATAAATAAGTAATAGAGTACTGCTTCCACCTCTGAGAACTCTATAGCTTGGTTATTACAGAAGTGGCTGAAGACATTATTTTGAAGCCACTAAAAAATGGATTAAATCAACTGATACTTTGTTGCATCTCTTTTAATAATAACTATCAATTAAATGACTCTCACTCATTGTAAGCCAACTTCTAACAAATCTACACTACACTTAACCATCACAGACAGAATATAAGTTGAGGGTCATGGAAAAATACTATTAAAAAGTTGGGATTCGAGAAATAATCAACAGCTTCAGAAAATTGAAAACTTAAGGCTAATTGCAATGAAATATTGACTGCTTAAAGCGGCCAGTGCCTCTGGTTCTCCATAACAGAGCTATGAAGAACCACCCAACTACCAAATAACTGCTTCACCAAACACCACCAGATTTAAAGGGTCAATCCTGAATTGAATGCTTTAGTTTTTTTATTTTGTTAAAATAATAATCAGTTAGCAAACAAAACAAACATTGTGTTGTTATACATCAAATAAAACTGATGGCATTGAATGATGATTCTAAGATACGACTAGGAACTAAATTAATTTGATCAATCAGAACCACAAATCCAACAATAGAGTATCAGAGAAACTCTCCATAAGGAAACAACAAACCCAAAAACCAGGAAATCCTTTCTTGTCTAGAAAAGCCCTTCACGTATTTCATGTTTGCTCATATGATTTTACAAATAGCAAAAAAATAAGAACAAAGCATATCATCATTTGCCACATCCCAGAATTCCAAATCAATCATCATCCATTCCACCAACTAATAGATCAAAATACCCTTTAAGAGAAAATTAACATATAAGTACAAAAAATACACATACACTACTTGTACATAAACAGAAGCAAAATATGGAACAAAAAGGAAATACCTGGTCAGGATCAGAGCTGGGGCAAGGATCAGCCAAGAAATGAGAAAAGTCAATGCCTTTGTCCTTGAAAAGATTGTTGTGGTGGCGTTGGTGGTACCGGCCATTAGTGTTGTTAACAGCTCTATGCATTTTAGGTTGACGATGAGGAAGGTATTGATGAAAATGCCAGAGGGAAGCAGCTAACTTTCTTGCAGAAACAGAAGCAGCAGGAGGAGGGATGTTATGATGAAGGCGAGCCTGAGGGTGGTAAAGTTTCCAAGTAGAGATTGGGGTACACGGCCCCCCTCCTTTCCTGTTCCCTACCAATAATACCCTCCTACTCAACTTTTCACACAAAATTTCCACCTTTTCTGCTACACCTTCTCCTCTTTTTACTTCCCTTTTCATTTCTCTCTCCCGCTTTCTTTCTCCCTAGCCATCAAAAGGGTTTTGTATAATACTACCGTTTTCTTTTCTTTTCTTTTCTTTTTTCATGTAATCTTTTTCACTTTTTTCCACTCTGGGGTCTTGGTTGCTAGAGTGAAATTTTGTTGTATATAGTGGGTATTTTCTTTTCTTATTTATTTGGGTTCTCCTTCCTAAAGAGAATATTACTGTGATTGATAGATCTGCCATGGACAAAATGGCTTACAGGAGGGAATTGATTGGATTAGTGCCTGTAAAGCATTTAGTTGGGTCACCCGCCAAATTGTGATTGCACGAAGCTGGGGGATCTATGAATAGAAGTAGTAAAAAACTTCGATTACTGTGTTCAATAAATTCCGTATCCCAATCCAACCATTAATCAAGGTTTTCTTTTTCATTTTCTGAAAATTATATTATAAAATCATAAATTAAATTATAATCATAATTAAATATTATGATTTATTTGATAGGTTTTCGCTTTTACATTTTTTAAAAATGAATTAATTAAAATATAATTAAATAAATTTAATCTAAAATTAAAACAAACCCACTAACAATACAATTTAAATCTGAAATATCAAGATTTTAGAATCTACCCTTTTATTGTTAAACCAAAATTTCATTAACATTTTCTTATTATTTTTGAATAGTTATACGTTGAAGGGGGCAGCACAGAGAATGCTATTGCCGAAAAATCAAAAGCTTCGTTGTGTCACGTCCTTTGGTCGGCACTCGGCAGTAAGAAGTCAAAGTAACAGTCTCAAATGAAATCAGCACCTAAATCAATTAACCAAATTAATTCATAATTATATTTTAAAAAATTTTAATAAATCTAAAATTTATATTTTAATATTTATAATTTTTTAAATTCTCATATTAGGGTTTTTTATTAAAAAAAGTATAACAGTGTCAAATGGCAATGGCAATTTGGACGGTAAGGTTTCCTTTCCGTGTCGTGTTGGATTTCTTTCGTCTGATCCTTCTGAAAAACATATACTGTACTAACCATTGGAATTGGATCCTGTTTGGTTTTGTTTTGATTTACAATGCAAATGGTTTAATAATTTGATTTGGTGTTTATTTGTAATTTAAAAAATAAATTTTGAATTATCATTTTTAAGTAAATTTTTAATTTTTAATTTTGCAAAAAAAAATTAACGCACGGCCACATGTCTCATTAGAAATTAAAAAGAATTGCATAAAAAGTTTAAAAAGTATTAGCAAGAGCCGATGTGTCATTGTTTTATAGGGTAGCGTAAGTTAGAAAGCATAGCCCTGTCACACTGAATAACTCATACCGGATAACATCAGTTTTTGAGTGAAAGGATTGAAAGTCATTCCCGCTCGACAAGTGAGCTAAGTTTTCGAGATTATGGCTTCCCTCTGCTCCAATCTTCACACTCCAGGCCATCATCTTTATCTATGTTTTTCCCAAATTTTATACTCTTTTTGTTTCATTTTTTTATTACTGTTAAAAACCGTTTTTTCTCTTTATTTTGTCTAAATTACTTTGGGTTCATCAGTATATGTGGAATGTGGGTTTGTTTAGTTTTGAATTTGGTTGGTGGTATTTGCGTCTTACTCTTCCAGTTTTGTTGTTAATTGGTAATTTAATCTAATAATTATGTGTTAATAAGGATCAAGATAGGATTTTTAATCCAAACCAGATGGAACGTCATGCTTTTGAAGCATTTTATGTCTGATAATTGATGAAACCGATAGCTTAGATAACCTATTTGTCATCAAGGATGATGCAATTTCTAAAATTTGAATCTTGATATACTGTTTGTCAACAATGAAAAATTAACTCCATAAAGTTCATTCTTAGTTTTCAGTAGCAGGGTAAAATTCGATCCGAGAAAGGAGTCAACAACAAGAACAATAACTTGCGAGAAAGCAAGTTCAAGGGGCCCTGACAGTGAGAGGGTAGTCAAAAGTAATTGTTTGAGAAAACCGTGGCGAAGCAGAGAGACAAAAAAATTTTGTTCATAAAGGTTTAATTACCGAGTCACTTTCCAATGGTATGTTTCCAGTTCTTTTAGACAATGAAGATTTAATTCTAGGTTATCTTTCGGGAAAGATACGAAAGAAATTTGAAAGTGTATTGCCTGGTGACAGAGTTAGAGTGTCCTTCTGATTCAACCAAGGGCCGTATAGTTTATAGGCTTCGTAACAAGGATGCAAAGTGGATGGCAGGGTAGATTTCCATGAAATCTACGCTCTTTCAATTAGTTACTACGTATTGAGGTGAGGAACCTCCAATATGAAAACAGGACTCTGTACAATATAAGAGAAAAAGGTAATTTGATATCCTTTGAGAAGCACCTCAGGCGATTGATAAATTGGTTCTTCAGGCTAAACCTTAAAGCTGGTGATGATCAGAGGATCTATGGCAATTAGTTTAGCTGGTGAGTTTCTTGGTAACATGGCTTGGATTTGGACAAGTCTTGCCTTCTGTAGGAGCTTGGTTGATTTAGAGATTGGTGAGAGTTAATCTTGTTGTGTAGCCCGATTTTGAAAGAAGTTTTATGATCATTTTCAACCTCTCTTTGAATAGTTTCGATGAATGTATTTCTTTGCTTGAATTGAACTGTATGTTTTTTTTTAATTGTTCAATTTTCATGTACAGTTTACATCAATGAAATTTATTGCACTTGGAATTGCTTTTCAATGTTGATTCGAGCTTGTCTGAAATGTGAACTGCCTGAGGAATTTCTTGAATTCAAAGAAGCCTTAGTAGGACTATTAATATGCTAAAGAGATAGAATTAGAGGGAAATAACGTTATTAGTAAGCTTTCTCATAAACAGGATAAAATAAAAATGAAACCCTGTTTTCAGTAAGCTGAAAGCTGATGGTACTTGCTAAGAATATTTTTGGTGCCTATTACTGGCAGTGGGAATTTTTTAGAGATTCTAGTGGTATTTGGGGTATATAGCTGCAATCCAAGCATAGGATTGCTTCTGACTTTGCTGCAAATCTTTGGAGTAATAAGGGCAGACTTGTAATGGCTTGTGAAAGTCATGGTCGGTTAGCGGTGGAATCAGACTGATCCATTGGCAAAATAAAGATATTAACAAATGAAAATGGAATCTATAAGGACCAACTAAAGATTGCCAAACTCATTCAGGGAAACTGGGGTTGCATTATTCAACAAGTTTGATAGAGGAGTAGAGTGAAGGAGGAGAAAAGAAGTGGGATAATACTGAGTTATACTCTCCACGAATGACCCAGCTACGTGAAGGTAGTGATTGGTATTTCTTTCTTTTCTTGTTTTGCGCATCAAATCCAGAAAAACTCAAGTTGGAAATTTCCTTGGAATTGATCGACTCAGCACGGCTGCATCCAGAAATTGCCCTGCTTTTTTTGGGGGGCGTAAATTACATAAAAGTATCTTGTGGTTTGAAGTGAATAAATTTGCCCTCTGATATTTAAAAACTTGCATATCAGATAGACTAATTTCTGTCATGTGGATTTGAGGATGAAATCTTGAAAACATTATTATTCTGGACAACAAACCTTAGTTCATGTCATTGTCCAAAGAGAAAGGAGATTAAGAAAAGACTAATCAAATGTTAATGGGAGTAGGAACAAGTAGTTTTCACAACCAAGTAGGATATTGAAATTTTGCTGATGCCGATCTCTGCTCAAAGGAGCAGGGAGATCATTGCTCCATGCCCAAGTTCTAGAATTGCTTATGCAATCACTTCTTCTTCTATTCAAATCTTTTCATAATTTTAATAAATTCTACAAGATGTACAACTTGAAGATCTTTGAACTTGACCTCAGTACTTATCCTTCAGTAAATCAAAGTAGAAGATTTGAATAACCTGAAGTTTAATTTAATTGGTTCGTGCAATTACTTTAAAAAAATGATATTCAATAAATTTAAGATTTAAATTTTAGCACCTGTAATCTATTCTCTTATCCCAATGCTACGAACTCATTTTTACCCAAAAAAAAAATGTAGAAGATTTGAAGAGATACTATGTCACTATTCAACTTGCTTTATGCTCATTTAGCAACCAAAAAAATAGAGTTGGTGCATGTCTGAGCCTTCGGTCTTAAATCTAACAATCAAAACCTTAACAAATTAACAGATACCAACCGGTTTAACCCTTTGTTTTGTTCCCCTAATTAGAGTCGAGTGGCAATAGTCCAAGAAGAACAAAGTTAGAATTATATCAGCATGTTGTTGCTTTCAAATAAGCAATTGGTCTATAGTCTATGGAAGTTGGTAATTAATTTAAAACTTTCTTTTCTTCTTTGTTTCAACTATGATCTATAATTAGCAAAGCCAAATCAAGCTATTAATTATTATGATAAATTCAGTCCTGCGGCTGTCTTTTCTGACATTAGTTTGTATGACCACCAGCTCCATATAAGCTTCATGCTTTGCTGACTTAATAGATTTAACTACTGCTGTCTTAAGCACTAATCACACACTGAAATGGCCACAAAGATTTGTTAGGCAAGTATATTCTCCAGAGTTCTTGATACTTAGCAGAATACGTCAGTTAGTTTCCTTTTTTTTTTTTTGGTGTGTCTGTGTAATAAAACAGTGTTTAGCCTCTTCGACAACTGCTATATATATACATCTGAAGAGAGTTAGTTTTATCAAACAGAAGCATCAATTAAAGTAGCTTGATTATCCATGAGATAGAAATCATGTTGCATTGTCTTCTTATTCCTACGAGTATCTCAACTCTACCCAGTTTCGGCTTCCCAAAAAAAAATTGAATCCGAAAAAACCGTGCAAATGATTCGCTCTCTACTACCATGAAATTCTTTTCGGTGGCGATGACTTGGCTAATGCCACATCTGCTGCTGCTACCAATCAGACTAAGCTAGGGAACTTCGACTTCGGGAAGCTTGTGGTATTCGATGATCCCATCACAAAAGACCAGCATCTCCTTTCTCATCCGGTTGCAAGAGCACAAGGTTTCTATTTCTATGATATGAAAACTACCTACAATGCTTGGTTTGCTTACACTTTGATCTTCAACTCAAGTGATCACAAGGGAACTGTAAACATTATGGGTGCGGATATGATGATGGAGAAGACTAGAGATCTGTCCCATGTTGGGGGAACGGGAGATTTTTTCATGGCTAGAGGCATTGCTACATTTAAGGCTGATACTGTTCAGGGTGCCAAATATTTTCGCCTTACGATGGATATTAAGTTGTATGCATGCTATTAAAGAATACATAGACTTGCTTTCCCATGTGCTAGGTTTGGTTGGATCAAATAAAAAGAGAATGCATTAAGTTTTGGAGTTTGAAACTTCGACGTGATTTTTGCATGCTGTATCTATGTGGTAGCAAATTTGCATGCACATGTCATTGGTTTGCTTCTATTTGGATACAAAGCTTTACTTCAATGCAGATCATGGTCAGTTTGAAATTGTTCTGAAATTAGCAAAATAATTTCCTTTCTGTTATATGATCTTGATGCGAAATACAATCATAGCTGACCATGGGGTTTTGGCCTAACTTGCCATGGTCGGAGCCGAAGGTTCATACACAATCTCCTCCATCCACTCCGATATGATCCTGTCTGATACACTATTGGCCCCACAGCAGTGTCAACTTTTTTTTGTCGGATCAACATAGAACACCTTGATTCTTGGTTCGACATTTCTGACAACAATTTTTTTCAACGGCCGGATGTGCTATATAAGAGGAGACATAGAGCCAGAGTGCTTCAGAATTAATTTAAGAGGTGAAGATATCCACATGTCCCACTTTCATTCAACATTTATAAACTAATTCTTTTGCCTATAATGATACGTACACAATTAATTATTTCAACTGTTCAAAAATTACTAAAATATTTGATGATGCCGATTAATTATTTCAATTGAGTTAAACTGACGTACGTAGATATGTTAATTCTAATTGATAAGATATAAAATTAATATGAATAAAAGATATGAAAATAACATAATTTAAAATTTTTTAAAAAATTATAATTAAGTTTATAAAATAAAAAAAATTATATATTATATTTTTATATCTATATTAATTATAATATATAATTTTTATGTAAAATATAATATAAATGTTATATTTTATATAATACAATAATACAAATTATCAAATTTAACGCGCTGTTCACTTGTAAGTACCTTGATCAGGCCGGAATTTGAGCCGTGGTCAGTTTTATGGCAATATCTCTGGGTTCATGGGTCTAATCCATTTTTATAATGGGCTAATTTTGCCAAACTTTATCGGCTATTTTTAGCTAAGGAACGATCCTCGGCCCGGCTCAAACTACGTTCTTCAATTTGGAGACAGGATTAATTGTCTGTCCAGCTCATGCCTACTCTCGGTAACCACGAAATTAGCGCCGCTGAGATGACATAATTTATAATTACTCTTTTATTTCAAAAAAAAAAAAATTATGATCTGTGTTCATATACCGTTGTAATAAAATTATCCGATCACAAATGATCAAAATTATTACTAGAATTTTAATTTCTCAAGTTTTTTTTTTTCAACCACTAAAGTTTTATCAATTAGTAAAGTTAATTACTTTGGTTTAATCATCTAAATCTCCTTCTTGTGTAACGTAATTAGACAAAATCTTTTTAACAAACTTATTTTTCGATATGTTTATATATATATATATATAATATGCATATTCCTAACCAATTAAAGTAACTAATTTTTTTAAGTGAGACTCAGCGATTTTAATTTTAAAGCATCACATTCAAAGTCATGCCTATCGCCTAAAGTTTTTAATTTCCTTTATACCGCTTATGATTAAATATTTATTTGATTACTATATTATATTATTTCTATCAATTTAACATTTAAAGAATTAAAATTCATAATTAAATATTTAAATTTGTATTTCATTAAACATTTTATTTCAAAAGCTTATTTCGCTATGACATGACATGTTTGACTGACAATAAAATGTTAAGAATCAAGCACTGGCTTAATTATTGTCATGTCATTGATGGATCCACTGCATATCAACATGAAAAGAAAAAAAAAATCCAAAAAACAATTGAAAAATACAAAAAAGTTTTAACTATCATATTTGTTGATCTGGTCAGTGACTCACTGATCACCTACGCCACCTTTTCCTGTTCTCCCTTCACTCTTTCCTCTTCTTTTATAGTTTTCCCCGTTGCCTCTCTTCTTATTTTTTTGCCTTTTTTATTTTGTTAATTCAAAGATAAAAATAGGGTGACATTTTACCACCTCTCATAATTTTATTAGATATTTTTATCTCTTCAATAAATTAACTAACACTATTAATAATAAAAAAAAAGACTAAATATGTATAGAAGTAAATTTTAAGTTTTCAATTATAAATTTTTATTTTTTAAATATTAATATGGCAAAATGATATATTTTAAAGACAAAATAAGTATTTAACCTACCGTTTAATTATTGCTTTAATCTAATTGATTAGCTAATTAATTATTTTTTAGTTTATCTGAATAAACAACTTATTTTAATTTATTCTTAATTTTTTTTATCTTATTATATGTTTGACCGAAAAACATATTATGTATTTAAATTTTTTGAAATCTATAATTTTTAAATATCAATTCTAATAATATGACAATTGATTCATGAAATAGTTAATTGTCCTATGCATTGGTTTTATGCATACTGAGTCATCTTAATTATTTCCAAAATTGAGTTGTAAGTCATTCGTTTCATCATATTATATATATAAAAAAAAAGGTAACAAAAACGCCTTTTTATTCTTACGGGCAGCCTTAAGAAGAAATAATTGATTCACCTACCAAAAAACAACCAAGCCGATGGTCACTAAAAATCAAAATCCAACAAACCTACTCCACCAATCTTCTCCAAACTTCCATTGAAAAAAAATGTTTGTGGTAAGACTATATAAATCAAGGGACCACATTGCACGTTTTCATAGACAATCCCAAAGTTAATTTCCATTAAATTCGATTAATTATTATTTTTATTGCAAAGAAAAAAATTTTGGTACATGAAATGAAAAAGGATACCATTGTTAGTTTGGAGCTAATTTCTCAATTATACGTTTCATATACATCAATTCATGCATTCTGCTTGGTCTATTGGATACTAGTCCAACGACAAGGTGACAAGAGACTCGAAAAGGAATTCCATGTCCAATTTGCTCAAATATGCCTTTCATTTACATTCTGCTTGTTGCCTTTCTATTTGGATCACGTTCATTGTCGAAGATGACTGGCTCTAAATCTGTCGCCCTTTATATGTAAATTCCATCACCTGTTGATTTTGAGTTTTTGACGAAATCGGGATACATGTTGGAGTTTTTGTGGCAACACTTTGTTTTTTCTGCTTAACAAGAAAATAAATACAAGCGGAGCTGATGGTTCAGATGAAGTGAAGTTTAATATTGGTTCTCAATATTTGTTAGGTCTAAATTTAAATTTGAATGTATAATAAAGCTATCGTGACAGTAGTTGGCGGCAGAGACAAGCTTAAGCGGAAAAGTCTACAATGGATGATTGATGGCATCATTTTTGCATAGCAGGTACAAGATGGTGTGCCACTTTGGACGTGAGATATTGAAATTATTGTTCCTTGACCTATCACTTCCACAGCCAAATCCATGTAGCTGGCTCTATTTAAAGGGAACCCCAGAGGGAGAACAAACCACCTCATAATTGCTTGCATAACTAGAATTCATTCATTAAGATTTTGACACTCCTTCTTGCTCTTTAGTTTTTTTAGTTTTTTTTTTTTATCAGACATAGAAGTAATGGCATCAAAAAGTTACATTCCTCTTTTGTTTTTCATGCTTCTTGTTGTATCCTCAGCTTATCCATTCAAGAAACAGCAATATAAACCATGCAAACACTTAGTTCTCTACTTCCATGACATTATTTACAATGGCCAGAACAAGGAGAATGCCACATCCTCCATTGTTGCAGCACCACAAGGAGCTAACCTGACCATCCTGGCAGATGAGTTCCATTTCGGGAACATTGCCGTTTTTGATGATCCCATTACCCTGGATAACAACCTTCATTCAAAGCCTGTTGGCAGGGCTCAAGGCATGTATCTTTATGATACCAAAAACACGTACACCGCCTGGCTAGGCTTTTCATTTGTTCTCAACAGCGCAGATTACCATGGCACCATAAATTTCGTTGGAGCTGATCCCCTGATGCAGAAGACAAGAGACATTTCTGTGGTTGGTGGCACCGGAGACTTTTTCATGCACAGGGGAATTGCAACTTTGACAACTGATTCCTTTGAAGGTGCTGTATATTTCAGGCTCAAAGTTGATATCAAGTTCTATGAATGCTGGTGAAGAAGAAAACAAACAAATGGGATAACAAGTGAGTGAGATGTATTGAAACAAATACACCCTCCATAATATTATTCTTGTTGAACCCTTTCAATTTCTAATTTCTTTGCTTTCATTCTGTTGTATTGAATCCTATTGGATCTAGGATTAAACTACAAGAGATTTAAATATATCTCATCCAATAAATCACTCTCCTCACTGATCTCAAGATTTGAACATGATATTTTCAAGTTAAAATTTCGAGTGTAAACTGCCGAGCTGTCTTGTAGAGATCTAAGATAACTTTGCATGATGTATGAGATTAATATTAGTAGGAATTATAACAAAGCATTTGGAGAATTACTCCAAAGCAAAAGAACCAATGTTAACCAATTTTCTAATTCTTCATCCAAAATTTAAGAGAAGGGACACCATTTTGCAGCTAGTTTCTCATGTTTCTTATCATCAAGTCATTCTGCTTGGCCTATTGGACACATGTTCACAACAAGGGACAGGAGATGTCCCAAAATGGAATTCCATTAGTGCAAATGTGCGTTTCCTTTACTCTTCTGCTTGTTGCCTTGCTATATAGATCATGCATGTTCATATCATTATCGAAAGAGACTGTCTTTAAAATTCACACGTTATCCGTAAATTCCATCAGTCAGTTTCTATATTAGAAAAATGGGATTCGAACAGAAGTTCAGGCAACATTTTGCCTTTTTGCCTAAAAAAAAAGCAATGTAAGTGCAGATGGATCTAATTTCTGGTAAAAAGGGACATATAAAAATTCTCTATATATTTTGGATTTCATTGTCAATATGCATATATAAATTTTAAAGCTGCAACAACTATAGTCTAGTGAAAAAGTCAAAATACACCGACAGTGGTTGGTACCAATTAATCCTCAAAAAGGCATACAAGAAATGGCTGCTGCTTGACTCATTGCAGCCATTGGCTCTCTCTCTCTCTCTCTCTCTCTCTCTCTCTCCAATGCCATTCATAGAAAGAAAATCAGAGCACAGTTTGTTAGTAATTTAAAATGTGATAGATCTTATATTAAATAAAAATATCATCTATATATAGTTTAAAAAAATTATTTGTATGATTTGTTGATAGTTTAGAATGTAATATATATATATATATCATATTAATCTAAATTATAATTTTGTTAATTATATCAGCTTATATATGTTATTTGATAAATATTATTAAGTTATATATTCACCATATATACTCTTAATATTTTTTTTAATATAAATTAAAAATAGTTAATATTTTTTACTTGAACAGTAAAAATTATTTAGAATCAATAAGTTATTTTTTGTAAAGTTTTTACAAAATATTTAATATTTTTATTTAACAAATAATATGTATATAATAAAATTATACTAATTAAATACTATATGGACAAATTAAATTAATAATATTAGAATTTAGATTAAAATGACATATTATTTAAAAATTTAAGATGTAAATTATATATTTTATTTTTTTAAATACCATTTTTTTCAAAATTCAAATATAAAAAATATAATGAACTCATTGAAACGTAAACACATGCGGATAAATATTTTACTTAATTATAAATACATATTTTTTTCATTTAAAAATAATTACATAAATTTAAAATTTTATTTAATTGATTGACATAATCACTCTAAAAAAATAACATCATATAAATCTAAATTTCAAATCTGATATTGAAATTCCTTATCCTCTCGTCGTTTTATGATCTCTTTTGTATTAAGAAAAAAAAAAAACAATTCAAATCCCTCTTTGAAAAAATAGATACATGGGTGTAATTTTACGCGCAATTACGTTTCGGTTTCTTGTGAACCCATAAATCCTTTACAAAAGCCCATAGTTGTTGGTCCAATGATCTCAGAAAGCAACAAGAATTCTCTGACTCAGACCTATGATTAAGCCCAAGGAATTATTTCAAGACTTGACAGTTGAGAATACATGCAGTGAAGTAGATAACCGCTGAATTTTGTGTTGGCGCTGTTCTCCTGGTAACTTATCCATCCATTTATCCACGGACACCATTTCCAAAGCCAAAACGAGAACCAGAAGTTAACAGAGACACAGAAACATAGAGCTGCTGCCTGAGAGTGCGAGAGAATGCGAGGCATAACGCTCACGGAGAGGGGATTGGTTGTTCATTCACTGTTGCATCCGTGACCTAAACCCCCAACTCTTTCACCTCTCATTTGCATTCTTTCAATGTTAATTCTCTCTTCAAGAGGCACTCTTCCAAGCTATCTTATCGCCACCAAAGCCTTCTTCTCTCCAGGTGTACTTTCATTTTCTTGTTAACCATTTAAGGGTCATTTCTTTAAAACTTTTTCTTTCTTCTTCTTTTGGAACCTGCCTGTCTACTTGTACTTAAAAAGCAAATTGTGAACCCATAAGCAACAGGGGTTGCTGGTAGAAAATGCTTCTGAATTGTGGGTGGTTAATGGGGGTAGTTTCAGCATCTGTCTAGTGGGGGGATGGTTGACAATGTCTACTTGAAATGACATAAGTGCCAGAACAAAAAAAAAAAAAAAGCACGTATACCAATCTATTTCTAACGAAGAATCTCGTATAATTTGAACTTGCTCTCTCAATATCACGTGCCAAGATGCAATGCAAATGGTTGGGAGTGGAGAAAATGTTTCAGTTATAGAGTTATACAAATTTTTCTTATGTACGTGTTATAGAAATTGGTTTGTAAGCACATGTGACGAGTGGTTTGTGGGTCTTCTGCAAAAGGTTGATGAACGTCAGCATAGCCTGGTAAGGTTTTTTAAATCAAGTTCCTTTTCTTCTTTGTTCTAATTAATTTTAACTACTGTTAAGACAAATTTCAAATACAGTACTTTTAGATATGATGTTCAGTTTGGTAGAGGATAAAATGCAAAGTTTAACAATATCATGCCTTTAATGAAAATATACGGAAGTTATAATCTGGAAAGAAATTGTTTTGGGTATTCTCTTAAATCTTAATTGTAGTAATTTTCTGCTTTTGTCAGTTATTGTTGTTGACTGACCCATCATATTAGCCTTTGATGTATATTACCTATCATTTATGTAGCTTTCTCTGTCTGCACTATAGGAGTTCTTCTCTTGGCTTAGAAGCTGTTTATATGAATTTCTCTGAGCACTTCATTTTCAACTAGGAATATAAGTATGTTGATTGCAAGAACTGGGAAGAGACTATCGCATTGAGGCACAAATCAGAGGATTGTTGTGTTTTGGATCATGCACCTGTGAATAATAACTTGAGAAGGGAAATTATATAGCTACAAATTTGGCTGTCTCAAATACATTGTTTAACAATCTGCTAAAGTATATGGTTCTTTTGGGTTGCTCACATTTCAAGGGTCACAACCAGCAGGTGCTCTCTCAGATATTGCTAGTCGGTAGCAGTCATTTCCTTACATAGGAGACCTTGGCGATGTTAGGACAGTGCTTCTGTGAGGAAAATCTCCCTGTAACTTTTATTTATGATACTTTTATTGTTTAAATTAAGGCCTATGCATAGTGATTCCGCTTCCTTATGGTGAAACTTAAAGCAACTCTTTTGTTTAACTGTTTAGAACTAAACAGACCCCTGTGTCCTTTAGAGTTTAATGTTTAGGCAACTGATCTTTATAATCTTTGTATTTGACTATTGTGAATGTTGTGATATTGCTACTGTTTTAGTTCTTGTTCCCCTTCTTAGCTTTAAACATCAACTACTTCCTAATTCAATATGCTTTCCAAAGTAAGTTCAGAAGGAAAATAAAGAAGAAAAACATTACTAATTGTTCTTTTGGTAGAATAAAGTTTTTGCGCATATGAGGACACATCTTGAACCACAGTAATTGAAGCATTTTCTTTTATTGCAGGCATTCTTGCTGATCTTTTTTTCAGACAAAACCTTTTTCATTGCAGTAACTCTAAATCGTTTTAGTAATATTTTATTAGTTTTAATAAAGAATCTGTCAATGGTCTTTTCTTCAGACGCTATTCTATAAATGGGGGTCAAATTTACTCGTCTAGACAGATTAATATCTGTTTCCACAAGCATAAATTTTGTATCTTATTTCTTTTTGAAATAACATAAACTCTTTGTCATCCACCATTTTCATTTTGGCTGGGGTAGATATTGTGGTCCGAAATCTTTTTCTTAGTGCTAACAGAAGAAACATTTTTTAACTCTTTTCTTTTTCCATCTTTAACCATTTTCTTTTCCATTAGCACATGTGTAAAGATTTCTTAGTTTTAAAACTGAAAATCAACTGTTGAATGCACCCTGATTTTGATGTTTTATATGCAGGCACTTTTAACTGTTGGAAATGCTGCTGCTGTAATCTTCATTGGGACTTTTGGTGCACTTGCGTACGTTGTTCTGCCCATGCATGGTGATTTAGAAGTCCCTTGCATTTTTTAATTTCATTAAGTAAGATTCCTTATAGGTGTGTGCTTCTCATGGAAAAGACATGGAAAAATCTTTTTAAATAGTTGAAGTGTTTATCTATTATGTTCACGGCAATGGCAATCATATCTGTTGTTCTCGGAAGAACTTTTCACTATGTTGATGAAATCCTTCCATTCAGGTTTTTCCCTTGAGTTTTTCAATATAATCCTGGGCTGATAAAATTCAATTATCCCAGGGCAGTTGTAGATACTGATTTAATGCATATTGTAATGCCACTAAATGCAACAAATGTGTTATCTTGAGACATTTCCTAATGAGCTTCAACTTGGATATTTGCAAAGTGAAGTTAAATCAATGAAAGAGTGAAAATTTTCTATTCTGCAGAAAGTTTTTGTATCATTAGACTTTTAAATAATTGTACAGTTCAAAAGCACTAAGATTATAATGCAAATTAGATTATTTTCAAAATATCTTTGGTAAAGCAATTGTCTTGATGTGAACTTTAGTATGGTTGGTTTATAAGTTTTTTTTCTCTAACATCAGACTAGTAATGCCCAGGTTTGGTGAGGCTGATCTGCCTATTGATGATATTGCTGCAGTTTGCCTTCTGGTATATTATCTTCTAACTTTTAGGCTTTAACTGTGGGGTGAAGATGGGGAAAGCACATTATATGCTGAGAAATGTGCTATAGAGTAACCTGTAGTTTGGAATTTCGTTCCCAACTGACATAAGCCGAAAAGCAAGCTAGTTCAAAAAATTGCAGATATATTTTGGAGTTTCAACATTGCTTGATGCTGTGTCAAGTGAAAATCAAATGGCAGAAGATGAACAAAAGGAGGTCAAACTACCACTTCTTTATATGATTTCGTAAGTTATCTGACCTGCCTTGGATATTCAAGCTCCAATATGGGTCCTTTTTTCAAGTAAATTATTTTGTTTTAGAGTTAAGTTAAATCAGTTTCACACCTTGTGGTATCATACAATACAGTTTCAGAATTTCTGGAAATCGAGCTGGGATCTTAGCTGCTGCTAACACTGTTATTAGCACTTTCCTCTTAGTTTTCGTTGCCGAGTGGGGTGATAAATCATTTCTTGCACAATCGGTCAGTGCCAGTGCTGCAATTTACATTTATCATACCTTCAATTAATGATAATTGCCACAAGTTTGTTACTATTAGAAATTTAGAATGGATCATTTATATCTATCTTATGATGGCTGAATTAATGATTTGCTAATTCCTTTCTTCTCATGCAGCACTAGCAGCAGCCTCTTCACCTCTTGGTGTCATTGCAGGCGCACTAGCTGTTCATGGTGTTGCTACTCTGGTAACTTACACCTTTTTTATATCTCCTCTGGTAACATATACTTGAGCGCAAAAGAATAAATGCAAAAATAGTCTTTCTTTGCAGCCGCATTCTACAGGCTAGTATATTTGCAAAACTAGCAAGTTTACTGTGAAATCAGGAACAAAAGGATTGTTTTTTTCTTCTGAAAATTTTGTTTTAATATTAGAATGTGTACAGGCAGGATTTATTGAAATTTGATAGTGCTACTGTTACAAATCTTTTCTAATAAGGATAAGTTACAATTACCTTGAAATACAATGAAATATTCAATATGATATTTAAACTTTAAAATTCTCTAACGTGGTATTTGAATGAATCTGTTAATTAATATTCCGTCATGTGTCATTATTTGGAGTTAATCACATTAAGGGTAAATACTACATTAGTTAACAAATTTATAATTTAGGTATCATATTAAAGATTTTTAAAATCAAGTATTATATTTAACATTCACTATACTTGAGGAGCCATTCATAACATTAATCCAAAATGTAATTGCGGAATACAAATATATAAGTCAAAGTTGCTTAAATCAGTCAGCTGAACAAGAACAACTAATTGACTTCAGAAATCAGGGCCCTTATTAATCCAATTAAAATTTTCACTTTTCCCCTTGTGTTGCAATTTAGTACTAAGTGAGGCAAGGAGGATCAGAGGCCTCATTTTTACTGCATAGATGGGAATTTACAAAATCAGTAACTTGATCATATGACATATAAATAACTTTATTCTAATGCATAAAAACTGAATCTTCGTTGCAATCAACAATATAGTGGAAAGTTCAATGCTTCAAGATATTCCAGATGGACATAGAACAATCCTCGTCAGGGTTTAGCGTGATTTCGAACTTAATGTTATCAGCATCCCAACATTGTCTTATTCCTTTCCTCATCAAGCCTAATAATTGGCAAATTATTCCAAATTATTGTTTTGTTAGAAACACATTGTGGCCATACATGTCCATGCGGATCTAGTCAATGATGATCTTTTCATGGAATAAATTAGAGTATGCAATGAAAGTTTGGTTTGAGCAAGTTATACCATATGATATAGCCAGACAGATTTATTCTTTTGGTATAAATCGTCTAGTCCATTAACCTAGTGAGCGTCATCATGGTATTTGTACCTTTAAAAGGTGCATTGGTTGGACCAACAGGTTCAGGCCATCAAATACTGTTATCCCATATGACTAAACCTCAGTTTGGAATATATCGACAGTGGGGCTGCGAGGATTGCGTGCCATTGGGACATCTTCTTCCTTGCCCTGTCATTGCAACTGTTAACTTTAATCAAATGAAGCATATTAAGCTTTCTTATATACATTTCATCCATCAAATATAAATGAAATCTTCTTTTGATTCTTCTGCAGGCCATTGCCTACATCGGCGGTACTCTCTTTCTCGTCTTCGCTGCTGTAACATTGATTGAGATTATGAATTAGAGGTTGGAGTGAGATATCAAAGTCACATTTTTGTGCACTTTATTCTTTGCTCCTGTTATTGATGATATCTACTTATATGATGGATTTATCGCGTGGATTTGTTACATATTGAATCAAATCATGAGCCGAGACAGGAGGGTATAATTGCATCCCATATGATTTTCTTGTTGCTGAATGTCTCTAATTGGTGGCTGATATAACACAGAGAACTTTAAAGGTCAAGCAGGCCAGGTTGGCTCAAAAATGAGGTTTGTATTGTGGGAATTCTTCTCTTTCTTTAACTCTTCAAGAGTGGGGTAACAATGTGTACACACATACGGAAGGTGCAGACGTGGCAGACCCATGCCCATCCATGAAAACTTTTAACAGAGAATAAAAAAATCAGCCTTAAAAAGATGATTGTGAAAGTGGAGAAACCCCACTTCTGGCCTCTTTCTTTGGCAACTTTCACCTTTAACCTATCTTTTTCCACCTCTGCTGCGTTCTTTGCCTATCTGTCCAATGCTCTACTCCACTTTCTTCCTTACTGTTCTTACCTTTGTAGCAATAATTAACTTCATTATTGCAAGAATTATTAGTAAAATTAAATACATCATTAGCATCCAAATATGTTTCAGAATTTGATGTTAAATTTCATAAGCATCCCCCTATTATGCCCATTTGTAGTTTCGTATTATAGCAGCATATGAAAATGCTAAAATCCACCATTGTTGTCATATGAGATTACCAATTTTTTGAGTATCTAACAATTTTGTTTGAGTTTATATTTAAGATATTATCAACATATAAATTTTATATACTATCAATAAATTAAAAAATAATAATTTATTAATAAGATAAATTAAAAAATAACATCTTGTTAATCAATAAATTTTTTTAAAAAATTTAATTTATGTATTTTATTTTAAAAATTCACATTTATTTATCAATAAAATATCATCATTTAAATTATTAATAATATATACAAATTATACATTAATAATATATCAAATATAAACTTATTTTATTTATCTCATAATTTAAGTATATTATAAAAAAAGGATTTCAGGATTTTTTTTTTTTTGTGCCGAAAATAAAATGAGAGGGGGAAAAGCAGAGAATAAGTGAAGTTAGCGTGTAAAACGAAGATGGAAGGATTTAAAGGTGGGACCTTAGTGGCAGATGTTGTACAGACAATAAGCTTTTTTTTTCATGTGACAAAAACTATGCAAAGGCAATAATGCTAATGACGATTCTAACAATTTACTTTTGGGCTGGGTTGGTAGTCACATGAATAACTCGTGCATCACCATAGCACTTGCACGCTAATAACAAGAAAAAAAAAAAATAATCCGAAAATTAATTAGCATATTCTTCATTGCAAATAAAGAAAGCACGTTGGTGATTGGCTTTTGCCCCACCCCACTAAACTTCTAAACTTTAAGATTGACACAAACTAGTTAAGTTACAGTTTATTGATTAATTTATTTTATTTAATTATAATTATAATTTTTTAACTTATAATTTAAAAAATCCATAAATAATAAATAATTAAAAAATACAATTTAAGAATAAAAAAATTTATATATTTAAATTTAAATCTTAAATCGATATAATATATAATTATATAAATCATTTAAATTAAATTTCGATTCAAAAAAGCATAATAAACTTAACATCTTTCTTTTCTTTCATACTAAATGAATTTAATATTTCAAAATCTATTAAAAAATAAGTTTGATATCTATTACATTAAAAAATACAAATAAATTATATATTATTCTTGTAAATCAGTACATGTTAAACTAAGAGTAAGATCAAGGCTTTGCTTCCATCTATATCTTATACACAACACAGTTACAAAGTCATTTGTGAAAAAGGTCAGCAATGTTTCAAAGTTCAAGCCAATTAAAACTTACTTTTAATTTTGTGTTTTGAATCACAAATACAATGCTGTCAATTTTAAAACAAAATGGAGTTTGAATTTCTTATATATTTAGTTTACATTTTAAAATCTTTCAATTCTTAAAATTTATTATAAGTCTAAATAAAAGTCAAAATTGGTTTCACTCACTCAAATTACTTTCTTTAATATTATGATAAATATTAAAGAATTTGACAAAGTATTTATTAAAATAATTTGAACATCATATATTGAATCTTTATTATTAAATTTTATGTATTTTTTTATTTGATAATCATTTTAAATTCTGATTAATTCGAAATTAAATCAATTGAATTTTATAAAGAGAATAAATTCTCTTAAATTTTTTTTATTCATAAAATTTGAAATTAAAATTTTACTTAAAAAAAATCGAAGTATTTACCACTTAAATTAATAAAAATTAGTATTAAATTTTATATTATTAAATTTTAAACACAATCATTAATTTTTTTTTTCACTTTTTACATTCAGATTATTTAACACATCCAACATCTATAATATTAATGTTTAATGTTTCGACATATAGATGAAGATCAGACGGCAAGTAGTGAGGATAATTTTTTACGTGTCAAAAGTCTGATTGGTTGCGAGATTAAAAGATGAGGGAAATTGATTTTTGGTATTGAAAAATCTAAAATCCATAAATTATTCAAAAATTTAAATTAAAATAAAATATATTATATTTAATAATTTAAAATAAATTATCATAAATAGTGTATTTAAAATAATTTAAATAAATAATTATGGATAAAATTTAAATTTAAAATTTTTTTTATAAATAAAATTTAATCAATTAAATCAATCAAAAGAAAGTTGATTCTTTGACTGATTTTGTGGTTCCTAAAAGTTTTGACCTTTCAATCACTGATATCGTTGTATTGTATGAGTACAGCACCACATATTTTTTTTGAAAATTATGGGTCCAGATATCGAAGTTTGTGTTCGTAAGCGCATGGGTCCCAGGAGAAAGTGCAGGGACTTAGGGAGCACAAAACAAAGACGACTCGCTGCCGACGACCAATTATGAAAACAACGTGCCACGTTGATGTGTCAGAGGAAATGTATTTTTTTTATTTATGGTTTGGTGAGGTGGACAGGGGTACAATCTAATTGTGACGAATTGATACAATAAAAAATTTCAATTCTGATTGTAAATTATTTTTTAAAATTTGGTTAAAGTTTGATTTTAAATAAAAAATTAGTTATTTAAATTTGTTAGATTAAATTAATTTATAAAAAATAAATTTATTTTTTATGCTCGATTTTAAATTAAAATTTAAGTGTGAATTAATATATAAATAAAATAATAATTTTTAATTTAAATAATAAAAATTTATATTATATAAAATGTGATTAAATTAATAAATTATTTGAATCAAATATTAAATATATTTAATTTTAATTAGTTTGATAAATCAATTTATTTTAATTCAAATTTAATTTAATAATAATTTAATCAAACTTAAATTTTATATAAATTAAATCCATTAATCTATTATTTACGCATCTAAGGTTGGAGATAGTGGAGTGGACCAATGGGGTGTGCATTGGGGTGTTCGATATCGCGTCGCCACGCAAACCGAACCATGAGCTTGACTTTTGGAGTCCGGGTAAGGGCAGCAGCCTCCCTCCATCGGTTGCTTTCATCACCCATTACGCTATACTTCTAGATAAAGGACATGAGTTGTGTTCCCATGCACCCAATTAATATATACTTCTAGATTTTTTCTACTTAAAAAAAAAAAAAGTAAGATGTTATTCAAACATATAAACAATTATTACATTTATTAATAAACAAATTTTTAGATTTAACATGCAAAAATAATGAGGTAACGCATAATATTAAAGATATAATAAAAAATAAAAAATAATTAATAATATAAAATATATGAAATTTGTTTTTTTTTTTACAAAATTAAAAATTTTCACTATAAATATATTAAAAATGAACTTAATATATAATTATAGATGAAACAATTATAAATAATATTAATATGAGCGAAACCTTGCACTTACCTCTAGTTTGAAAAAAAATAAAAAATAAATTATTTATGGATGAAAATGAAATATAAACTTAAATAATAGCATATATTTCTCTCAAATTCCAAGTTCTTCCCCTCCCAACTTAACAAAAAAAAGTAAAAAAATGATGTTTTAATTTTAAAATTAAACTTTAATTTTGATTAATATTAGGAATGATTGATAAAGTATTATAAAATTTTTTAATATAATATTTAAATTATAAATTTATTAATTAATATCATATTTAAAAAATTATTTATTTATTATTTATTATTTAAAATTAATTACATTAAAAAATATCATATTAATTAATAAATTTATAATTTAAATATTATATTAAAAATTTTTTAAATTTAAATTTTATATTAAATATTTTATTATAATTTAAAAATTATTCATGATATTAACTACTTTTATTTTTAATGGCAAAGGGCAAACCATTCTTTTTCACCATTAAAACACAAAAGTGAGCGGTTGACATATAATCATGATTAATTATATCTTAAAATCTCTGAATGTAGCACGTGCAGCTATCATAGACACGTGCCAGAACCATCTAAATTTCCACCATTTCACTTCCTTGTTTGCCACACTCTCCCTCTTTCTCTCTCTAATCGCCTTACTTCTCTCTCTCTCTATCGCAGGCGCGACGCCTAAAGTCCAAAAATTCCCCTATCCTTCATTCGTACGCTCTCTTTTCTCCGATTGAATACAATTCGATTTCAAAGGTAATTTTTCAAATTTCGCTGTTCCTAGCACAATTCTCCTTTTTTTTTTTTTTTTTGCGTTTCGAATGCTTAATCTTTTCTAAAATCCCGTCCAGTTTCACAGTAGCTGTTTTTTTATGAACTTTCTTATGAATCTGTTAATATCTAGACCGTTTGGCTGCCGTGAAATTCAAAACATTAGTGAAAATTTACTTTAAAAAGTTATTTTCCTTTGTTTTATGTTTTGAACGAAGAGGCGTGAATTTCTATAAAACCTTAATCGAGTTGAATCCAATACGTTTCTCTTTCTTGAGCTGAAAGTGAAAAGTTCAGTTTTTTCTTTTTTTGAATCATGAAGGAGGAAATCGGTATTATCTTTCATTTCCCTTAATTTTCTGCTATTTTCTCAGCAACCAAACAGGTTTTCTATCCTGTATCTGTGTTTATCAGGATTTGTTGTTGATATTATTTTAGCAAATTCATTAACAATGCAAATCCTTTAAACTCTGAATTTATTTCGTAGAAAAGTCCGTTTAGTTTAAATTATTTGCTTAAAAATTGAGGTATTTTTTGAAAAGTTTCTTTTTAAGTTGAAACCTTATTTTTAGTAATTCATTTTACCATTAGGAATCCAGTGTCAATTGTTTCATAGATCTCGACTCAGAATGTTCTTTTTTTTTTTTTTTAATTTTGTTGATTGCTTCAATTATAATTTGTAACTGATATCTATTTTTTTTTTTTTTAGGAATTGTGGATAAATATTGGAGCTCTCCAAGTTTTATCGTTTCATAATTTAAGTAAGTTTCTTGCTTCCATTTTTTATTTTTTTTTCTGCGAAATTATATGTTTTTATGTTGAATTGGTATTGAAAAAATCACATCTTAGCTATGTTATGCCCAGCTGTATTTTTATAATGCTGTTTTTTTTTCCCTCATGATAGTTCAGATTGTTCCTTCCTCGGCATGGTGCTGTCTGCTTTGGCTGGCTGATGACGTTTGTTCTCACTTTGTGTCTTTTGTAATAGGGTTCTATTTCCATCCTGTCAGCATATATAAATTTGCATTACTAATATTATGTTCTAGAGCTGTAACCTTTTTAAAAATTCGGCAGATTTTAGCTTCTTAAGAATCTAATTTTGTTTTCCTTATGTTTTGGTCTTTGCTTATCTCAAATCTTTGAGCCTCAACTTTCTTATTTTTATTTTGGAACAGGATGGTGGATCACCATGATTTTGTTGTAAACTTGTCTGGTCTGCACTGATTTATCTTCTTTTGCTACAACTGATTGGCTAAATTTTGGGTTAAATCACTTTTTAAGTAAATGGATCGCTGTGACACTTCAGGGTTTGTTAGTGGGGGTGGCATTTACTCACTCAACGACATCTAACCCTAGTTTTGTGGCTAATTGTCTTCACCTGGAAGTCAGGTTGACTGCTTTATTGCAATTGAGATTTGGTCTGTATTTAATTATTTGGTTTCAGCTATTAGTAAATGGACAGCAGGTTCTCAAACTTGGGGTTTTCTGCTAATTATTCTTTGAATGCATTCAATATTTTGGGTAGTTCAATGCAAGTTGGGGGAACTGGGTTTCCACATAATGCGGATACTGTTCTACGTCTTGATTACCCTGGCTCTGCAATCCCTCACATGTCAATATCAAAAGGAGTAAAGCGGAAGTGGAATTTGATGGATGGATCCATCAGTGAGCTAGTTGGGTCGACATTGTGTCTTGGACTAGGCCGCTCCTCAAGTTCCTCAGACAGCAAGGGGAGTTTAACAACTGCTTGTACTACAACATCTTCATCCAAAGAAGCTGATGAAGAGTCCTCAATGGATATTGAATTGGACTTTACCCTCCAACTTGGAAATGAAAAGGCAATCAACCCCAAGAAATCTGCTAGTGCAAATTTTCTGAAGGGACTGGAATTGCAACCAGAAGTTGACCTGGAGTTGAGTCTCTCCACTGGGCCTTCTGAATCTGATATCACTAGTGACCATCTTAACTCTTCTCCTATTCAGTCAGGTACTGAGATGCCAATAGCAGTTGATGGGGCAGATGAAGGATCTACTTCCTGTCGCTGGAAACCTGGGATGGCTTTGCCACCATTGCAGAGTTTACCAGCTAAAGAGACTAGCATCTTCCTCAAGGGAGTTAGAAGAAGCATTGATCTTTCTCCCATTTTTCCAAACCTTTCTTCAAGCGTGATTACTACACCCAAAAGCTCAGTCACCTGCACGTCTGGGATAACACGGCAACAACAGCCACAACACCGCAGCTCTTGTTCAAAGATATGTCAGGTTGAAGGATGTGGAAAAGGGGCCAGAGGTGCTTCTGGCCGTTGTATATCTCATGGTGGTGGCAGGAGGTGTCAAAAACCTGGCTGCCATAAGGGGGCAGAGGGCCGCACTGTGTATTGCAAGGCCCATGGTGGCGGTCGGCGATGTGAATTTCTTGGTTGCACAAAGAGTGCAGAAGGTCATACTGATTTCTGTATTGCCCACGGTGGTGGTCGTAGATGTGGTCATGATGGTTGCACTCGAGCTGCCAGAGGGAAATCTGGATTATGTATACGTCATGGTGGTGGGAAGAGATGTCAAAAAGAAAATTGCGCAAGGAGTGCTGAAGGCCTCTCAGGACTCTGCATCTCACATGGAGGTGGCCGTAGATGCCAATTTATAGGATGCACGAAAGGGGCACAAGGGAGCACAATGTTCTGCAAGGCACATGGTGGTGGAAAACGATGCACATATCCAGGGTGTACCAAGGGTGCTGAAGGTAGTACCCCTTTCTGTAAGGGTCATGGAGGGGGGAAAAGATGTGCATTCCAAGGTGGTGGCATTTGTACAAAGAGTGTTCATGGAGGAACCAACTTTTGCGTAGCACATGGTGGAGGTAAGAGGTGTGCTGTGCCTGCATGCACCAAGAGTGCAAGGGGCCGTACTGATTATTGTGTTCGTCATGGTGGGGGCAAGAGATGCAAGTTTGAAGGGTGTGGCAAAAGTGCACAAGGTAGCACTGATTTCTGCAAGGCACATGGTGGAGGGAAGAGATGCTCGTGGGGCCATCCTGGGTCAGAAGACGGCAGCCAGCCTTCTGGTTCTTGTAACTCTTTTGCAAGGGGCAAGACAGGTCTCTGTGCACTCCACAGCGGCCTTGTTCAGGATAAGAGGGTTCATGGGGGTGCAACACTTGGGCCTACTGTCCAAGACCCTAAACTTTGCAAGTCTGAGAAGATGAAAGAGATTGTTACTTCTGAGGACATGAATGTTGACATCATGAAATTGGGGAGTGGCATTGAAGCTTTGGCCGGCAGAACTTGTTCTGGTTTAAATCAATATGGAATTCCAAATGCTCGTAATTCTGTTGGGGAAGGAGGCTTCTCTGTTTTTGTTCCTGAAGGTAGGGTGCATGGTGGGAGTTTGATGGGAATGCTAGTAGGTGGTTCTGGTCTTGGCTCGGGCAATAGTGAGGGGTTGGCTGGTGATCCATCAGAGCCAAGTAAATATTTTATGGAGCCTCAGAGCTGGATGTAAGTTTATTTCACAGCTATTGGGAAGTTGGCCCAGTTTCCTTCTTGTTTGTGTCCTTTGGTTCTAGTTTGTTACTCCTCAAAGTGTTAGAAAGCTGTCGTCATTTATTCGTCTAGATGGTGAGAAAAAAAAAAAAAAAAGAAGCTTTGTTACTCGTGTGGCAATTTAGGGGATCAGGTAGGATGTAGCTAGTAATGACTCAGGTCTTTGTTCTTTCTTGTAAATATTGACATATGTCCAGCAGGTTGTGAATACAGGGTAGTGCCTGTAAGGTCAGTCAGTTTGTCGAACATTATGGTTATAATAAAGCTTTCATTGGAACTATGCTTGGTTTAAAGGTAAATTATTCTTATCACATGTTTATGATATTATACAAATATAATATAAAAAAAAATGATAAAAAAAATATGAAGGTGATGTAATTTAAAATTTTAATAATAATCATATGAGTTTAATAAAATTAAAAAAATATATTTTATTTTATGTTAATATAAATTTTAAAATGTAATTTTTTTATAAAATATGATATAAATATATAAATTTTAATATTTTATTAGATTTGAATGCACAAATCGTCAGAAATTTTATCATGTTCTCTTAGTTCAGTATCTTGTTCTCTTAGTTCGATGTTTGTTTCTCTTTCAAACTAAGCAATGGATTGGTGATTGTCTTTTGAATTGGCATTTTTCAAATACCAAACGAAAAGCCGCCGCCATTTCTTAAACCCAACAGTCAGGCGATTGGCCCTCCCCTCCACTGGGAAAAACTTGTTGCACCTACGATTATTTTAGACCAGTCTTGAAAATTGCTTGTTACCTCCAATCTCTAAATCTTCGATGACTTTGCACAAAGCAACTCTACAGTTTCTTGAAAGTGAAAGCTAAGTGAAATTCCTTGTTGTGAACTCCATTTTCTTTTTTTAATATTTCAACCTAAACTAAAAAGTTCCGAGGAAAAGGAAGAAAAGGAAAAATTAACTTTATTTTTGGGGTATTACAACATCTTTTAGAATCCCTATTTGCTCTCGTCCTCTTGTCCCCATTTATTTTGTATGGTGGTATTACAACACCAAGTTCTGTATGCATGTGTAGATTCCCCCTTTATAGACCCTCATGCTTGAAATTTGCCGTCTTTGAAAGTTCATCAGCTGCTTCTAGCAAGGAAGTAAAGGTGGCAAGTGATAAAGCTGTGGAGCTCTCATGTGCTCTCATCCTGGGCAAAAAGTCCGTGCTAAAACCTCTTTCAAAAGCATCCACCTCTATAGATGGCCAAGAATGCAGCCTTCGTGATTGTTTCCTCATCATCTCATCGTAGGACTCTGTTTGTGCAGGTGGGAGAGTCCCTGACTGCATGTTTTGCGTTGGTTGATTTGAGCTCTTATCAAGGCTTGTATTGTCAAGATCATCCAACAGGTCTGGGAGGTCATACAGGGTTGATGAGCTTAATCAATTTGAATATTCTGACCGGAACATGATTAGGAGGTTGTACGGTGCCTGAAAACTGAGGAAGAGGAGCTTAATCAATTTATTGATGCCATCCAGAATTTGAAAATTCTTTCAATGTTAGTTGTTATGCTTGTGATATCCTTTCTATTGACTGATATATGGCGACGCTGCCTTGCAATTGATGATCTGTGTTCCCAACGTAGTATACTAACAATTTATATTATAAATTTGAAGCTTCATAGTTGAAAGGCAGTCCAAAGCTGCTCAAGCCTCGATGATGAAATATCATAATCGGCTTCTTTCATGTTCTCATTTTATCAGATTAGTCGAGGGAAGTTCTGGCAAGTTGTTAGGGGAGGCCAATTCACCCCGAGAAGGACTTTTTTAGGCTTCTGTTGGATAGAATTGGACAAACTACAGGTTGGATTTGATAAGAACCAGGTCATGGAAGTCTTTTTTATGCCTATAATTGTGGCAACATTGCCACGTATATGAGATAGAGAACAAAGAATAAACAAAAAGGATTGCCTTCAGCATTTCAGACTCAGTGAGCCAATATTGTGTGCGATTCACCTGAATACATGCCAAGTCCAGAACAAACGCTTATATAATTCCCAAACCATTTTGATTTGTGGACTTAACTACTCTCTTTTCATCTTTTTAGTATTCCTTCGTTACAATAAATCTAGACCATTGACGTAAGTTTCTGGTCGCACAATGTTAGTTATATTACAGGGCTGTTAGCATTCTTATGGAAATGGTTCTGATTATGCTAAAATGGAACGTGAATATCCTATCATCTGTATTAACTATGGAAAAATTGCAATAAACATGCAGGCTTCAAAAGAGAAGGTGGGGAATACCTGAATCTCAGAGTGAAGAACTCCACGAAGTGCCATAACCTCATAACCACAGTATCGAGAACTGCTCCAACTTTAACATACTCTGACCATGGATGGAAGAAGTGTTGGAACCTGCCATGTGGGGGCTTCCATTTTGCGGCATTAGCATAATGATTGAAACTGGTCAGGATCAGAATTAGGATTATTTCAAGCACCCAAATGGTGAAAAACAGAAAACGTGTCATGGAAAAAAATAATTTATGCAAGGAACACAAACTAATTACCAAGGACTCCAATTTGACTGAAGAGTTTAATGTGGTTCGGCATTTTCTGCAGGCTGGTTCGTCTGGGAACTCATACATGATGTCTTGGAGAATTCTGGATGATCTAACCCATCATCTTCTAAATATTTCTTCACACATTCTGAAATTTCCATTATGATCGTGTTCTTTGATAAAAGTTCCAAGCAATAGCATTTTTAACTTTCATTAAGCTATGACCGATTCAAGTCTTTTCATTTGTGAGCTTGAGTATGTTAATGAAAGTGATAAGAGAGACTTTTCAAATTTGCTAATTACCTTCAAGAGAGTCAGCCAGTGAGTTAAAGCTGTTGACTAGCTCTGTGTAATTGCTCCCCAGCCCATATAGGAAAAAAAAGCACGTTCACAAAGACTGCCACAAAACCTCCAATGGCAATAGAGTACGGCCTATCCAAGGCAGTTCTAATTGGGTTCCCCACCTGGTATCCAGAGCTATTATCAGGTAATAGGTGAAGAGTATGACACCGAAACCAGATTCATAAGGAACAAATGATGACCATAGTTTCATGAATGATGTAATAGCCCTTGTACATAATGTTCATCAAATATCCCTGTAATTAGTATACGGACTCCTACTTTTAGTTTTTTTTTTCCTTTTTTTTTTCTTCTTTTTAAGAGTATACGCATAGAAGATATACGGATATAGAAGATGCTAATTCCAATAATTATAGGCTCAGCAACCAAGCCAGTGTGTAGAGCTACTGAGCAACTGCAATAGCTAAAATTCCAGCAAGCACGCTTCCAAGTGCTCGGTTATCATCGATTAGAAGTTGGACCTTGAGAAAATTCACAACAGTTAGAAAATACATATCCTAACATTTTCATTTAACATATAAGCATGTTACGTATATTTCTGTGCTGAAATGTGTATGATAGTTGTGTTTGCTAGTGAAAAATGTAAGCATACATGTAGCTGATTAGGCTTTTCATAGTGTTGGTTTATGCAGAGTGCTATGGCCTATGAACATGAAATCATGAATGTGTTGCATGACGATTTGCACTCAGCACATGCATACCAACTGTGTATTCAAACATGATGGCGACAGTGAGGATGGACCAAATGATATTGGTGCCAAAAATTTCTTAAGGTCCTCGAAATAATATAAGCAAAGAAACTAATAGAACAGCCAATCCCACTTTGAATGAGAATGTTACTCTGTTACTATCTTCTCTGCAAAATTCCCAAACATTCCATATCCAAGCTTTGCACGAAAAGCCCTGGGAGCCAGATTTCTTGCAAACTTCGGGCTGTTTGTACTCAGTAGTCGGTGGAATGTTGATCTCAACACTTGCCATTCATTCTCCAATGAAGTAATATAAGTTCTTCCAACCTTGTCAGCCCACTTTGCTTCAAGTTCTCCGTATTGTTGAGCTTGTTCAATTTGAATTTTCTGATTAGATTTTCCATGAAAATTAGGAATTACAGATAGATGATATTGGCCCAACAATTAATCTGGCCAGAGCGAGAGGAGGTGAGGAGTTGAGTATGGAGGTGGGATGTGGATTTGGATGGAAGGTTATAAAGGGACTGCAAGCTCAGCTATGGCAGCAACTGGGGAAAGGAAGCATGTCTAGTCACTATATGAAATGCAGAAAAAAGAATTATACGTCAATAATAGAAGAGTAGATAGAGCTAAAAACTCGGGATAAAGATTCATAACCTCAATAACGTTGCATGGATAGCGAATTAGAATCTAAAATTGCCTGGCAATGCATTTTTCAATAGCCATGTTTGCTCCTATATATCAGCCCATTTTTCTCTTGGAAATTGCAAGTCTTATTGTACATATCAGCCACAATATAATCAAGATCAAGTACTACAGACCTTATATTTCATGGCTGTTTGATTTACATTCATCTATCATAACCTACCATTGGGAATGATAGCATTGTCGTCTGGTTGTCAATATTGAAATTTCAAATTGAGAATCGTCTCAAATTATTCCAAAATAAGCAAAATTATGGATTTTTTGGGTTTTTGAAGACCTGGGGCAATGGGTGGGTATTTTAAACAAGAAGCTAATACTAATCGCACTTGAGAGGCCTCACTTTCTCCACGAGGGAATTATACCTTGAGTCAGACTGCTGTGGTGTGCAACATTCTTTGGTGCTAACCTGTTCTTGATGATTTAAGCATACCACCATATGCTCATTGTTTTTTCTATAAATATGAATTAAGAGGTATCTGATTATGTAATATACGCTTTTGTATCTCATGTATTCCTAAATCGTCAAATCTTCACAAATCTTCCAGGTGGCTGGACTTGTGTATGTTTTGTCATTTCAAGCCCAAACCCTAAGGCTTTGTAATTAATCAGTTTGAAGTTTGAACCAATTTGAGCTGTTTGGCCAATGAGAAACTTGCTCTTTTCTACCGGCCCTCGTGCTGCTCACAACGAAGATGCAAATGGATACTATTTTACATAGACAAGCATAGTATACTAAAAACTTATTATATATCCGCTTCATTATCATAAAATGCGTTTGTAGTCCAACGGTTAGGATAATTGCCTTCCAAGCAATAGACCCGGGTTCGACTCCCGGCAAACGCAATTTATTTTAGTTTTTCCAATTGGGGATAAGGGCTTAGGTCATTTTAATTTTTCCTATTGGGTTTAAGGACTTAGTTCTTGTGAAACATTTTTCCTATTGGGGTTAAGGACTTAGGTCTGGTGAAGCTCTGACCTTGAGTTGCTCTGGTATTTGCTACTATTCAACGCTGTTGACCTGCGTAATTTTACAATGCAGAAAGCCACAATAACCAAAAATCAAAAGGAAAAAGAACAAAACAGCGTGAAGTGTCATTATAGGGAAGCCCGTGAGCATTTACGCCGTTTCTTTTCTTGCAGTTGAGTTCTCACGCGAAATAGGGACAAATATCTACTTACCCACGGCCGTGTTCCGGATCAGACACGACATTTTTTCTTTGATTGGATTTGTTGGCCGCTTTACGGTCCAAAAGCCAAAAGGTCGAACCTACCCACGCCAGTTGGAAGTTGCGGTTAAAAAAAAACATATTTCAAAGTACAAAAACCGGAGAAGGGAGCTTTTATCAACTGAGGAAACATCCAGACATGACGGCAACTGCCCATGATTTTTTTCAGATATATACTGCTGCCCATGATTATAGCAACTCTGACTTCACTTCTTTTTTTTTTTTAAGAAAAGATAAAGAGAAGAGATCCCATCATTGCAAAGACAAATGGAAAATGTTTTGGCCAAATAATAATGCAAAAATGTTGAAGGAACTCATGCACAAGCATGTGTAATACTATCTCCATCTAACCCCATTTTAGTCATTTCAGAAACTATCATTTTTTTTTGGGACCCAAAAAAGTGTTATACTTTCAGTTTCGGACAAACAAACAAACAAATCAGTCATTTCAGAGACTATTATTTTTTTTGGGACCGATCACAAAAAGTGTTATACGTTCAGTTTCGGACAAACAAACAAACAAATCAGCTTTGCCTTAACGCTCCTCTGTCGCTCTCCTAACTCACTTGACTCACATTTGACCTGGGAAAGGAAATCGGGCTTTTCTTTTTTTATTCTTTTTTTAAAGAATGGGTAACTGTAACGGTCTTCCCTCCGCCGATAACCAGTTCCGACCAGACTCCGACTCTGGCGGTGGTCCCCACCATGGCATCAGCGTCAAACCTGCCGGCCCATCACCGCTAAGACCCCAACAACCTTCAACCCGCCATCACTATTCCTCCGCCGCCTCCAACAACCGCCTCGCCACCTCCACCACTCCACCCATCGGTCGTGTGCTCGGCCGTCCCATGGAGGACGTCCGGTCTACGTACGTCTTCGGCCGCGAGCTCGGCCGTGGGCAGTTTGGTATTACCTACTTGGTGACTCACAAAGAAACCAAGCAGCAGTTCGCTTGTAAATCTATCGCCACGCGTAAGCTTATCAACCGAGATGATATCGAAGACGTACGCCGTGAAGTCCAGATCATGTATCACCTCACCGGCGACAGGTTCTCCGCAAAACAAAACTCTCATATTATATATATGTATATATCTATTTCTGTTATAGTTTTTGGTAATTTTAAAGGTTTTCAGTAAATGGGGTTGACAGGAACATTGTGGAGCTGAAGGGGGCTTATGAGGATCGGCACTCGGTGAATCTGATTATGGAGCTGTGTGAGGGAGGGGAGTTGTTTGATCGGATTATAGCGAAAGGTCATTATTCAGAGAGGGAGGCGGCTAATTTGTGTAGGCAAATCGTGATGGTGGTGCATAGCTGTCATTCCATGGGGGTGATGCACAGGGACTTGAAGCCTGAGAATTTCTTGTTCTTGAGTAAGGTCGAGGATTCTCCATTGAAGGCTACAGATTTCGGGCTCTCTGTATTTTTCAAGCCAGGTGAGCATTTGTGCTTTCTCTAATTGGAATTTGTTTTGACTTTGTGGTGATGATCACTATTAGTGCTATGAAAATGTGAGCAGATTTATACATATATAAAAAAGGAGGGATACTGAGTTCTTATCCTATTACAGTTGGGGGAAGCTATGATTGTCGAATTCCTGATTTGATGGTTGCTTCTCATCGTACATTAGATGCATAACTCAGAAGTCTTTTGTGATAGTTTGGCAACAGTTGTGTTGGAATTAAAGTCTCATCTTTGATTTGAGTAAATTTATAATTTGGTCATGGGAAATATCTTCTTAGGGCCTTTGTCTATGGTTTAATGAAAGACAAATAGAGACCCCGTTGAACGAGAAAAGCATATTGTGCTGGACACTAATGTTGTAGCTATAGTCAATCATCACTGACTTGAAATGAAAAATCTTCATAGCTTTCTGTATAATGAAACACTGAAACGACAGAAACAGCATATCCAAGATCCTTGTCAATCTTAGATGTTTCTAATAACAAAATGCTACTATTTAAAGTCAATTGCAAATCTTCATATTCTATCCGCAATTCATCTGACAGAGTAAGGTAAATGCCAAGACAATTACTCACTTTTCTCAACACCTTTACTTCTGAAGGCTTATTGATGATGAGTATCAACTAGAAAATTTCTCCACTGATGCAGGAGATGTTTTTAAGGATCTTGTTGGAAGTGCTTACTATGTAGCTCCAGAAGTATTGCGCAGACGTTATGGACCTGAAGCTGATATTTGGAGTGCCGGGGTGATCCTTTACATTCTCCTTAGTGGGGTCCCACCATTCTATGGAGGTAGTACTATTGTTTCTTATAAAGATTAGCTATTCCCATAATAATGTAATACACATCCTTCTTCTAGGAGTAGGAAACTTTTGAAGTTTTAAAATTTCATTGATTTCCAGTTGAGCATATTTATGAAATAAGAGCTAATTCGTAATAAACACTGCTCATTTGTGGATGAGTGAGAGGGTCTCTCATCTCTGCTTTGATTTTGTTTGCAGAAACTGAACAGAGTATCTTTGATTCTATTCTTCGGGGTAATATTGATTTCTTATCAGATCCATGGCCCTCTGTTTCCAGCAGTGCTAAAGATCTTGTGAGGAAGATGCTACGAGATGATCCTAAAGAACGGCTTTCAGCATTTGAAGTCCTAAGTAAGCAGCTTTTCATTTTTTCTTATATATATATATATATTTGAAAGGACCTATGGACCGATTTGGTTTTCTTGCAAGTTGATGGCAGTTTTGTCCTGTTGTAAAGGATAAGGAAGTTAAAAGCCTTCGACTTGAAACTGTCAAGTTGGCTGTCAAATTCAAATTTCGAATTTTTGTTTGTCTCACTTCAAATTTTGCTTCAAGTTTCTGGCAGTTCTGTAAAAAAGAAAGAATGCTTCACTTACAAATTGCACTGCAGATCATCCATGGATGCGTGAAGATGGTGATGCATCTGATAAGCCTCTTGATATTGCTGTTTTAACTAGAATGAAGCAATTCAGGGCAATGAATAAACTCAAAAAAGTTGCTCTAAAGGTGAATTGCTTTCTCTGCTATCATTATGAAATATTAATATTTAAGCTACAAAAATACATGAATGTGAAACAAAAATAATATAATGGGGGATGAGCCATTATGTTATAATATAATGAGGTGGCCTGACCTAAAAGTTTTGAAAGCTGAGAATGTAAAGGAAAATATTTAAAGATCCATCTTCAAGAGAACAAGCTAAAGATGGTTGTGTTAAGGTGATAGGCCTCTTTTACAAAAAAAAAAAAAAAACTGCTCTTCGTTCAGTCGTTGGTTGACCTAGTAGCCCAAGTGCATTATGCTTGAAATAAATTTGAAAGATCAGTCATCTATTCAAGTATATGTAGGTATCTCTAGGGTCTTAGCATCAAAGACTTCTAGTTTATTTCTGGCTATTAGTCGAAGGCAGCAATGTGGCAAATTAGTCATATTATTCTTTCTTTATCTTCTTCCAGGTAATTGCAGAAAATCTGTCTGAAGAAGAAATCATAGGTTTGAAGGAGATGTTCAAATCCATGGACACTGATAACAGTGGAACAATCACCTTTGAGGAGTTAAAAGCTGGCCTTCCTAGACTTGGTACTAAGCTTTCTGAGTCTGAAGTGAGGCAGTTAATGGAAGCGGTACGTCTTGGTCCTTTTATATACATCCTGCCTGATCATCACTGTGCTTTTAAATAATTTACTTAAACTCTAATTAATGATGCACAATGAATATCTGGATGGGGCAACATTGCTTTCCTTGTGGAACCTTGGTCTTTACTGATTAGTATTAAGTATGATTTACTTTTTGCAAATTCAAGTTCCATGCTTCTATAGTTCTATTCTTGGTTGAAAGAAATAGGAGCCTCTAGGACTGAGGAATGATGTAGAAACTGATAAATTTTACAAGGACGATAATGCTGAGTGAAGCCATGATGCAACTTGTCATCTCATTATATAATGCTAAATAGATGACAAGAAAGGGACCACACATGTCGGAGACCTGTAAGCGCTCCCTCCAGCCAACCTGAAAGCAACTCAAAAACCAAGTATCAAGTAAGGAAGATGAATAAGCCCTCTGGGTGACTGGCTTAGGTGTCTCACGATAAGAGCTTATATGTATTTTAGTTTATTGCTAAGCTAATATGTAATTAGGGTATGCTCAGCATATGTCATTTTTGTTTTGCAACATACCATCTCAGCATCCAAGTATGTTATGGTTCTATGAATGTGCTATTTATTAGTTAACGTGCATTCTGCTGGAATCTTAAACACAGACAAGAACTGAAAAAAAGCATTGATGAATATTGTGCTTTCATATGCTACCTGAAATATATCAAATGTATTTGTAAATCTTGTTGTGCAAAATATTCTTCATAATGTTTCGATGATATATAACCTGTTTGTTACTTCCCCAGGCTGACGTTAATGGAAATGGAACGATTGATTACATTGAGTTTATAACAGCTACCATGCACTTGAATAGAATGGAAAGAGAAGAACACTTATACACTGCCTTCCAACACTTTGACAAGGATAATAGTGGGTAATCAGTCTTACCATCTTGTTGTATTACAGTACATAACAATTTTTTTTTTCCATTCCCTAATCATATGCTCCCATTGTGACGACTGAGCATATATGTTTGCTACTCAATTTAGGTATATTACAATGGAAGAGCTAGAGCAGGCCCTTAGGAAGTATAATATGGGTGATGAGAAAACAATAAAAGAGATCATCACAGAAGTTGACACAGATATGGTATGCCTTCCTCTTTAGAGACAATTATCTACTATTCTTTATCTCTTTTCAGATGCTATTTTTTTATTCATATTTTTGTCTCTTCAAACATACTTAACTTTGGCTAATAGTGGATCCATTTAAATGAATTTGTCACAATTGGGGTATTGAATTACATTCTAGCTGTTATTTAGATGACCGGAGCCTAGTATTTTTCTTGACTGATGTAATCGCATCTTCATGTTTGATGTACCATGTTCTTCCTGCAGGATGGAAGAATTAACTATGATGAGTTCGTTGCCATGATGAGAAAAGGCACCCTGGAGTTGGTTGGAAACCGACAATGCAAGTAAGCTGAATGCAGCGAGCATCTCTGCTGGCTCAAATTCATGTCTCGACTGGTTTGTTTATTTGTGCGGTTTTGTTTTGACCACAATGACGTGTGATCTCAGTTTCACTACCTGGGATCATGAGATAGTCCATGCTTTATGAAATCATTAGTGGTTTGTCTATTCCTGCCCTTTGCCACAGAAATGAAACAGATTGCCATCAAACCGGGGGAGAGTGCAATTATATCAAGGTTCGGCTGATTTATTGGTTGAATGCCAGAGTGCGAAATTAATATGAACTTAAACTTTCCTCAGATGCGTTACAGATTAAGAGAGGGAGGCGCATGATTTTTAGTTTTTGCTTGTTTGTACATTGTGCAATTGCTAGACCATGACAGATGCGATGTTGAAATGGGGCACGGCCAGTTGAGCATTCAGCGAGTAGAGAGCCACATTTATTGCCGCATCAATATGGCGCAAATCCTCTCCGTGTTGGCTGTAGCAACTGGCAACTGAATGAAGTCTAGCAGATGCTAAGGTTCAACCCACTTAATTCAATATGTTGTTTAGGAATTTGATATTTAATGCATTTTAGTTTTATACAAGCAGCATGGCTTTCAATTGGTATGAACTGCAGCCTGGGTCCGGCTGTGGTCCTCAACGTCCCTCATGCTTGTTTGATTGAGGTTGTAGAACTTTTTGCACCACGATGCCTGAATAAAATTTTTCTTTCTGCCTTTTTCTATTGTTATTATTATTAATTTTTTTCCTTTTAATAATTACATAATAACTTAATCCAATAAATTATAAAAGAAAATGTCATTGGAGTTTTTAATAAAGATGAATGGTGAGTTTTTTTTTTTTTAATTTTATTATGGATCATTATAATTCAATATATAATTAGTGAAGTTAAAAAATTTCACCGAAAATATATGAAATAATGTCTTCTAATATAAATAAAAGAAATTTTTTTTAATAAAATAAAAAAATTACAACATATAACATATCGACCGTCAAGAATTTAAAAAACAAATGAATATTGAATCCTAATTGGGCAATTTTAAAATGAATTTTATTTGATTCAAAAAAAAATTGTTTAGTATTTGCATGGCAACATTTATATTTTATTAAATATAAATTTTATTTAATAACATGAAAGGGACCTCAAAGAATATTTTTGCCGGAACTATTATTATTAAGAAAAATGAATTTCTCGTTTCCAAACACCCCCTAAAATTCTCTGAACCAGAAAAAAAAAATATCACTCTAGGAAACTGGAAAGTGTTTTCCGCCCTGGGCCTCAAACACAAAATCACAAAGTAGGGTTTTTGACTTACAATTCCCAAATTCCTTGTAAAATTATTTCTTTTTAATGCAAGTTGTTAGAGTTCTTTAAATTAGGAACTCATGTTGAGCTCCTATTGCTCTCTCTCTCTCCCTCAGCGCCCAATTCTTGCTCCTCCTCTCTCCAAAGTTCGGATTCCAAACCGACCCGGTACCTTTTCTTTAACCCGGAGCTCCCGGATCTTTGAATCCAATCCCAATCTCACAAAGAACGTAAGTATAAATGCACAAGCATTTTTGTTGTTTAAATTCTTGTTTTCTGTTTCTTTAATTTCATTTTTTATGTTAAATTTTGGTTTTTAAGAATTTGAAGTTAAAATTTTGCAATAGGTTTTGTTTGGTTGCCAAGAAAATGGAGGAAAATTAAATTGGAAGTTATTATTAAAGTGGGGTATCTCACATCTAATAAATTTTCAATATCAAGTTGACCCCTCCACTTACTGTCTAAGTTTGATGCTTAACAGTTATAAAATTGAGCTTTTACATAAATGAAAATTTTGTTTAATATTGGTTTTTGACTCTGAAGCCAAATTATAGTTACTTTAGTTCTGCTTGGTTGCTGAGAAAATAGAGGAAAAGAAATTATGTATCAGGAAACTTGATTTATTCTACTTAGGCCATGATAAATCTAGAAAGTTCGTAGCTTTATTAATTGGTAGAGTTTTTAGAATTCAATTGAATATCTCCTTGATTGTGGTTGTGTTAATGAAATGCTACCTATACTATTGGTTTATAGGCATTTCTGGTTTTGTTTTGTTTTTAATTTGCAGAAATGGAAAATTGCATTCTTTAGGCATGAGGGATTCTCCCCAGAAAACCCAAAATCTGAATATATTGAGCATTTTCTGCCTGAAGAATTGGTAGAACCTGAGTTCGATAAGTCTAGTGCTTGCAAAAGAGATTGGAAATCAACTCTTCAAGAGGTAATATTTTCCTTTAATTGGGTTCAGTGTAATGGACCTCAGATGTTTATGTATTTACGTGTGCAATAGATGGTACTTTCAGTTTAATCTATATGTCAGCTATTTGTTATTGGTTTATCACTGAGTCTATTGCAACCAGTCTCTTCATAGGCTAGACACTCAAATTATTAACTAAAGTTTTTGTTTGTGGGGGAGAATTTAGGTGTTGCTCATTTGTCCGAAGTGAACTTACTGGCAACTGATGGGCATAAGTTATATGGGCTATTTTACTAAATATCATCTGGCTATACATAGATATGCTATAGGTTGCCTAGTAACTTTACAAGAAAGATGAGAAATTCCTTCAACATGTATAATATTGGAGATCCTGCTTCTCCCATTTCTTTCATATCAAGTAATTAAACTGGGACCAAGACTTTTTTTTTTTTTACTCGAAGGCATTATTAATGTGGATAACAGGATAAGATTATAGTTTGAAGGGATATAAAATTTGAGTGTAGTGCAGGAATGTCAAATATGTCAACATGTTTGCTAATCTCTTTACATTTTCATTATCCTTTCTTTTTTAATTTTATAAGGAAAATGATGAAATTAGTTGGTTATGATGCAGGCTGCAGATGCTGTCTTGAGAGCAGTTGGTAGCAGGTGGACTGTACCATGGACTGCAGAGACCATTCTGCAGGTTAATTTTGATTTACATGGTACTCTGTAGTAATATTTGGCATCTGTGATTGGCTTCTTAACTTGTATAGATGCTAAGCACGTTTTGTCTATTAATTACACAGAAATAAGCAGCTTAAGGTCCATGAACTCTATCAATGAGCATCCTATGTGGTAAAGCTGCCAACTTTGAGCTGCAGCTTTCAGGGGATGACATGTGGTGGATTCAAATCCATTCTTTTGAACCCGAAAAGAACTTAGGATAGAAAAGAAAACTGAGACTTTATTTTATATCCTTCCTAACTTGTCATTGCTTGTAGGTTTAATACCTGCTGGTAGATTATAGCTGAACTGGAACAAATCTTTGTTTATTGCTTTATATCTGATAATTGACAATTTGTTTGTCCAGGAGGTAGGTATTGAAAATGAATTCCAGTAAAGAAGTGGAAGAATATTTGATACCAAGTTAAAATCATCATATCTGATGCTAGATGTTGTCATTAATCAGTCATCTTTTTTAGCATTTCAAGACTAGAAACTAAAGATGGATGGAACTGGAGGAATGGCATCTCATTGAAACTTTGGACGAATTACAAATATGTCAATTAGTTGCGTGATAATATTTTCTGTGCTCATGTAGGTTATGCTTCTCTGGGTAGCTGCATTCTGGTTCATTGGTTCTTGGATGATTCCTTTCGCTGCTCACATGGCAGGGTTCAGCAAGGAATCTCTAACATTCAGAGGACAAGCCTTGTTCAGCCTTGTGACTGATGTAACTGAAGGGCTTGCTGGGATTGCAATACTCCACCGCTGTCTGTCTCAGTTTCATCCCCTTCCATCAGATTGGTTTAAATTTAGCTTGAAAGGGAAGTGGCATTTTGATGTTGTGCTAGGCTGCCTCATGTTTCCTGTTGTCAACCGATTATCCCAGTTCAACCTCAACTTATTGCCCCTTATGCCTTCTACGCCTGTAACGCTTTCCAGTGTTGAGCAGTCAATTTTAGCAAGGGATCCAGTAGCCATGGCACTATATGCAATAGTAGTTTCGATTTGTGCTCCTGTATGGGAGGAGATAGTTTTCCGTGGTTTCCTTCTCCCTTCATTGACCAAATACATGCCCGTATGGTGTGCTATACTGGTGAGTTCAGTCGCCTTTTCTCTGGCACATTTTAATGTACAGAGAATGTTGCCACTTATTTTCCTAGGAATGGTGATGGGTGTTGTTTTTGTACGGTCAAGGAATCTATTGCCATCTATGCTTCTGCACAGCCTCTGGAATGGCTTTGTGTTCTTGGATTTAATGAGATAAACGTCTTTGTCTTCTCGTTTTAGCCCTATTGTTGGTTGATCTTATGCAAGTGAAGCATAGGCTTCAGGTCAATTTTCTGGGGTATTCTTCTGGCAAGAATTTTAAGCATATTCTCAATGATAGGGCAAGCTACTTCATTGTATCAGCAATACAATTGAATGCCCAGAAAATTTGTACAGCTACACCAACTGAATTCTGCAAGTAACACTCATACAGCATGCTGATAGGCTATTCAGTTGATCGAGCATAGCTTAACAGAATTCTTCTAGTGTTTCTGTTTGTCTTTGATTATATCAGGGACAGTAAAAGCAACAAAGGGAACGAAGATTATATCTCTATTTTGGCTAAAGGCAATCTTCCTTCTCGGAATTGTAGAACTGCATGTTTTAATTTGTTAGATGAGGACTTTTTCTCTTTCTTTATGGTAAATAACAATTATGTTTGGCTACTGTTGCCCTAGTATTTGTCGTTTTCAACTAATTATAAAGTGCTTTCACAATTTGATCCTTCTTTGGTGTTAATGAGCATCCCCACAAATCACTATCAAAACCCAAAATAGAGGACCAAGTACATCAATGCTATACGACTCTTGCAATGGTGCATGTGAGAGTGGATTGATGACGCAAACAGTGTTAGCTTGTGCAGCATCCTCGGGTCTTGGGAGATTGCCTTCATATTCGCGGAACAGTTTCAATGGGGGACCATCCATCTCTTATGTACATGGTCAAGTAGATGTCAGAGCCTTTGGCAATGGATCAGATACGCTGGTTTCGCGGGTCCAGGTTTTGTAGTTTGGGGGAAGAAGTCAGAAGCAAGTTGCAAGAACACGCAGACCAATGGTGGGATTTACTGTAAAATCATGATCAACAACGTCTACCATACATATGCTCCTTCTCCATTGGTAGAAATGGTGCCCCTGCTGTTTCCTCTGTCTAGTTATCAAGTGCAAATTACAGCTGTAGTTTAGTGATTCATGATCTGCTTGAGCTCTGAAACTGAAGCAACTTTTTTTTTTTTTTGCCTGTGTAATTGCAGATGCTGATACAATGCTTCTTCACTTAAAAGTCCCACTTGATTCTGTCCCCAAATGGCCAGATACCACGATGTCACAGTTCTTGGGAAAATGAAATTCATAGTTGCAAACTTGCAAGAGTTGCATAAAATACAATCAATGAAATTTTTGGTTCCATAGTATATAAAAGCTAGTAGTACTGTGCTTTTGTTTCATTGGAAATCTGACCCGTCCAATGACTTGATCCTGTGGGTCACACAACTATTTAACGATCTTGATAGAACCGGACAGGATCCTAAAATTCCAGCAGAGCTTATCTGATTACCATATTTGAGCGACAACATTTGGCGACGGTTTTGTTACATGCACACTTCCTTGGTAATCTTGCGCCAAGTTGCCCAGCAAAAATACTTTAAACTGTCAAACCGAACCATAAACCGTCAAAATACTGCCACGTAAGCACATTTGTGTGATTTCCCATCAAATTCTCCATCCCTCTCTCTCTCTCTCCTTTTTTTTTTCCCTCTAAAAAGAAACAACCGAAAAAGACTCCAGAAATAGCGGGAACCGACTCCACCACTCTTCCTCCGCTGGCATTCACCGTTTTTTCTTCCCTCTTCCGTTGACGCCTCGCTGTCAAAACATCCGCTTCTTTCGTTTCATTTAAATTGGGCTCGAAAAATTACCATTCAATTATTGGAAACCGAAAAAAGGGTATACGTCGTACTGAGACAGAGGAAATATCGCAAGAGATTAAAGGATTTTCATTTTTGGTTTCCTAAACAAAAGACTTGTGAATAACAATCAAATTAATATTCTCAGGAAAAAGTAAAGTTTGGGTTTAAAAAATCTTAGGCAACCAATGGAACAAAAGCATATACTGTTGTCGGCGTTGAGTGTGGGTGTGGGAGTAGGGTTGGGCCTGGGGTTGGCTTCGGGTCAGAGCAAATGGACCGGAAGCGGTTCGGCTGCATCAACCGGCATAACTTTGGAGAGGATGGAGAAAGAATTGCTCCGCCAAATTGTTGATGGCAGAGAAAGCCAGGTCACCTTTGATCAGTTTCCTTACTACCTCAGGTAACGTTACAATTTTCTCATCATTTGTCATTGTAAGTCATTAGTTTCTTCTCTGAAAAATAAATTATTTTGTTAATAGTAACAAAAAAGAAAGTATTTTCTTTGATGGGATTTTTGTTTCATTCTTCAAATATTTGATGGGATTTTTGTTTAATACTTATGTTATGTCAGTTGTCATGCACCTTTGATAATTGTGGGACTTTCCCTTTTTCTTAACGATGGAGTTGGATTTTAGAATCTGATCACTTTCACATTCTCTTCTCTTTTCTTGGGTTTTTAAATTGAATTTCTCAGTTATCTCGCTCATCTAGGTAGCCCTATAAACACACACACACACACTACTATATTCTTTTCTTATCTGGTAACTTGCCAAACCCAAGATTAAGATTATTCCCTTTTAGGAAATAGTTGATAGTTTAAGGCTGAAGATAGATGAACAAACGGGTTTCAAAGGCTTAAACAGGCTTAAACTTAAATAGCCTTAGATGAATTTTATAGCTTTATGCTTGTGCTTGATAACAAATGCTGAGTTTTACTGAACCTGATTGCAAAATCAAGGCTGTGCTGTATTTTAATTGATGATGGTGTATCTAAGTTACAGCAGGCAAAGGGAGATAAAAAAAAAAATGAAAATTCTATGCTTTTGAATAATAGGATTGAATATTAGCCAGAACAAGAATGGAAAACTTAATATGGCAACCAAACCATGCTGAAAATGAAACAAAATTTCTCAAGCTTAAATTCTCTTTCATTGCTCTAATGATCTGCTTACTCTAAGTTGTCATCCTATAATCTAGTCCTGCTTGTTCTGACATCTTCATCCCGTTGGTTTTGTTTGGCAGTGAGCAGACTCGAGCATTGCTTATTAGTGCTGCCTATGTCCACTTGAAACATGTTGATGTTTCCAAGTACACAAGGAACCTTTCCCCTGCTAGTCAAGCCATATTGCTATCAGGACCTGCAGGTTGGCTGCCTGGATTCTCTTTTCTTACTGGCAGGCAATACTTCACATATTTTTTTGGTATTATAGGTCCGTTTGTCTGTAAGGATGCTAATTGTATTGTTTCTTTTTTCTTGAAGAACTTTACCAGCAAATGCTTGCTAAAGCTTTAGCCCATTACTTTGAATCAAAGTTGCTGCTCTTGGATGTAACTGACTTTTCCTTAAAAGTGAGTATTGACATTTTCTTCTTTCCCCATCCCTTAACTTGCTCGTCTTTAAGCTTCAAGTTTTACATTTGACAGTTTAAATGGTTACCTTTGTACAGATTCAGAGTAAATATGGAAGTGGCAAAGAATCTGTAAGTTTCTTTTTAAGTATATTTTCTCTGACTGAACATGGAAATAGGTCAACTTTGCTTTTGATTTTCCCCTCATCTTTGATTCTCTTGTGCAGTCTTTCAAAAGATCCACTTCAGAGTCAACACTAGAGCGATTTTCTGCCCTATTTGGTTCATTTTCACTCCTTTCACAGGAGGAGCCCAAAGGTATAGTAAAAAATGTTTGGTTTCCAGTATTTATGCAAAGCTTTATCTAATTTATTGTTTCCATATCATTATTGAATCTTGTAGCACCAACTGAAATATTTAATTTCTTCAATTCCTATAATGTAAATATTGTTTACAGTATTTTATGCATTTCTCTGTGGCTATGAACTAGAAGTTATATTACAGGTACATTGAGGCGGCAAAACAGTAGTGTGGATATGGGATCAAGGTATTGTGACATATATTCCTGATTAATCTTCATGAGAAAATGTGCAGTCAGGGGTTTACTAGTTTAGTCTTCTGTTTTTCAATATTTCTGTTTCTTGTAACTGCAGGGGAACAGAAGGTCCTCATAAGCTACGTAGATATGCATCTGTATCAGATAATATCAATAGCCTTGCTTCTCAATGCAATCCTGCAAATCCAGGTATTCCTTAAGTTTTATTAATGAAAGGCTTAAAAAGTAATTTTTTATGGTTATGAACAGAAATTGTTGGGTGAAGTAATTGGAAGCTTTTCCTTAAGTTCAAGGTTAACACTAAAACCTCTAATTTTTATTTCACAACCAACAAATGGAATCTCTTTCACAGTAACCTTTTAGCGCAGAACATAATACCATGCACTTCATTACCACGCACTTCATTAGAAGTAGCTAACAAACAGTGCTATTATTTGTCATGAGAAAGTAGTAGAAAAAATGTAGTGGGCCATTATGGGTTTCTTCTTGAGCACTACGATTATCTATTCAGAATGTCCTAGACAAGGAAATGCTGTGCAGTCCTATAACTGCAACTGTAGAAATGTGAACTGCTGTTGTTGAAGAGCTTCAGTGTCATGTTTTATGATCCTGAATGAATAATAGAGAAGTCTTAAGTTGAAGCTGGTAGATGTTAAACAACTTTGCTTGATCTTTCATCAATCAATTATATAACTTTGTAAGGCCTTACAAAAGTTTCAGGTTAATCAAATTTTAAATTCAAGGGTTTTGAAGCAATCACTGATGATTTAAAAGAACCCTCAAACATGGATGGAACAGTTTTTGTTCCCATAAAGTAAAACTACTCTCCACTATTTATACTTCATATTCTTATTCTCCAAATTCATTTTCCAGTGCTTATATCTTCTTTAATTTATATTTCTCCTTTTTCTCTAGCTCCTCTGAGGTGGACAAGCAGTTTGTCATTTGATGAGAAGCTTCTTATACAGTCTCTTTACAAGGTACTGTCATTTGGGGGTGCATGTTAATTGCAACAGTGAATGATGTTATCATGAAATTTTAATGAATCTTATTTACATATGAAATCATGTCTTGTTTTGAAATAAATGATGGATCAACAGCAATTCTGATTGAATGCAGGTGTTAGTTTATGTGTCAAAAGCCACTCCTATTGTGCTGTATCTTAGGGATGTTGACAAGCTCTTGTCTAGATCACAAAGGATTTATAATTTGTTTCAAAAAATGTTGAAGAAACTGTCTGGAAATGTGTTGATCCTTGGGTCACGAGTTGTAGATCTGGGTAATGATGACAGAGAGGTGGCTGACAGGCTAACTACCATTTTCCCTTACAACATTGAGATCAGGCCCCCAGCAGATGAAAAACATCTTGTCAGCTGGAAGTCTCAACTGGAAAAGGACATGAAGATGATCCAAGCTCAGGATACTAGAAATCACATCATGGAGGTGCTTTCAGCAAACGATCTTGATTGCGATGATCTTGATTCAATCTGTGTGGCAGACACAATGGCCCTCAGTAAATACATTGAGGAGGTTGTGGTATCAGCCATTTCTTATCATTTGATGAATAATAAGGATCCTGAATACAGAAATGGAAAACTCATGATATCATCAAAAAGGTCAGATTAGTTTTTTCTTGCATGGTTAATGTTACCATTAACATTACATTTTCTGATTAGGTCAACATTGATGTAGTTTGTCACATGGATTGAGTATATTCCAGGAAGGACAGTCCATTGGCAAAGACACGTTAAAACTGGAAGCACAAACTGAAACATCAAAGGTCTATATGCTTGCTAGTACTCTTTTAACATCATCTAAAAAAGGAATTAAATGGTAGTTTAATAAGCTTACCTGTCTATTTTGTTCTATGAGTAATTGTAGGAAGCAGGAGCTGTTTCTGTTGGTGTGAAGCCAGAATCAAAATCTGGAAGCACCAATCCTGAAAAGAAGAGTGAAACAGAGACAACAGTTCTGTTAACAAAGACTGAGGGTGAAAATTCTGTTCCAGCCTCAAAACTTCGTGTAAGTTTTTGTCTTCTTTTAGGTACATTTCTTAGATGGTATTTTTGCCTACATGCACCTCAAAATTACTAACAATTTTGAATAAGTTAACCAACCACCAATTTTACTCCTGAAAGGAATAAGGAATAGTGAAAATAACCATGCAGTAGTTCCACTTGACATAATCTTCTCAGTAGCCAGTTCCTTCAGTATCCCATTTTGTCATCCCTTATATCACTTTGAACTTGTTGTACCTGTGGCAGGAAGTTCCTCCTGACAATGAATTTGAAAAGCGTATAAGGCCTGAGGTCATACCTGCAAATGAGATCAATGTTTCATTTGCTGACATTGGTGCCTTAGAAGAGACCAAAGAATCCCTGCAGGAGCTAGTGATGCTTCCTCTCAGAAGGCCAGACCTTTTTAAAGGTGGACTTCTAAAGCCTTGCAAGGGAATATTGTTGTTTGGTCCTCCTGGCACTGGGAAGACAATGCTGGCTAAGGCCATTGCCAGAGAGGCTGGAGCTAGCTTCATTAATGTATCCATGTCTACCGTTACTTCTAAATGGTTTGGTGAAGATGAGAAGAACATCCGAGCTTTGTTCACATTGGCAGCCAAGGTCTCTCCAACTATTATATTTGTTGATGAGGTTGATAGCATGCTTGGTCAGAGGACTAGAGTTGGAGAGAATGAAGCCATGCGGAAAATAAAAAATGAGTTTATGACTCACTGGGATGGGCTCTTGACAAAGCCAGGTGAAGGTATCCTTGTCCTTGCTGCAACCAACAGGCCATTTGACCTTGATGAAGCAATTATCAGGCGTTTTGAGCGAAGGTACTTGCGCTCACTGAGAATTTTAAATACAGAACTGTCTTACATCTTGGCAAAAGCACAGTTTGCACTTCATATATAGTTGAGTTTCAATTTGACGCTCCATTCAATCTGCTTTCAATAAGAAGCTGAGCAATTTAGTACGCAGAGAACTAATTTTGTTCAAGACTGGTGCAGGTCAAACCTTATTCTTCTCCGAAATGATCATCAGAACACTTAAATAATTTCCTAAATCATGTAACTTGCTACTGGAGTATTAGCACTAATGAAATTAATTGGTGCATTGAATTTCTTCAAGTAATCATATTGGTTGTACTAACCCTTACTCGTTTTAACAGAATCATGGTGGGGCTTCCAGCTGCAGAGAACAGGGAAAAGATTTTTAGAACTCTTTTGATAAAAGAAAAAGTAGAAGGTCTTGACTTCACCAAGCTTGCATCGATGACAGAAGGATATACTGGAAGCGACCTTAAGGTTTGCATTTTGATAAGATGTTATTTTTTAGATTAATAATTAAGTAGAATGACTGTCGTTTCCTGTTTAAAACAGAACTTATGCACAACAGCTGCTTATCGGCCAGTTAGAGAGTTAATACAGCAAGAGAGATTGAAGGATCTGGTGAATGCATCACTTCCTTTAAGTCCACGAAGTTATCCTCCTATTTTTGTTTTAAACAAAAAAAAAAGGCACTTTTTATAAGGAAATTTCAATTTAAATATTGCTTTTCAAGCAAGTGCCAGGACAATCAATTCATTTTTGTTCTGTTGTAAACTACCCTTTACAGGAGAGAAAGCAGAGAGCTGCTGAAGGGCAGAACACAGACGATGCCCCAACTAAAAAAGATGGTGCAGAGGAAAGAGTCATTACCCTAAGGCCATTAAATATGGAAGATTTTAGGCAAGCAAAGAATCAGGTAAATGATATCACAGCATGTTACCTACAATTCCCAAGAAGTTAGTTTGTAGGGTAATCCTCCCTCAGCAGCTGTTGATTGATTGTTTGTATATTAGTTCCTCAAATTGTTTATGTTCTATTTTCCTGTTGGACAGGTGGCAGCCAGCTTTGCTTCAGAGGGAGCTGGTATGAACGAGTTGAAACAATGGAATGATTTGTATGGAGAGGGGGGTTCGAGAAGGGAGCAGTTATCTTACTTTCTATGAGACTTGGGATTCATTTCAGTTACAAGCACTATAGGAAGAACTTTATAGAGGATTCACTATTTACAGTCATATCCTGCATTGACCAACGGGTGAAATACTGATTAAAAAACAAAATAGATGCTAACTGGTAACAAAGCCACCTGAGAATGCATCCTTCTCATTATCTTAAGTCCTATTATGAAGCAGGAAAAAGTTTTAATTTTATTGTACAATAGTTTGGGTTGTACGTGTACAAGTATAACTCCTATGGTTATTTCTTGCCTTTTGCTGGTTGGTATAATAATTGCAGATCTTGTGGAGATCTAGTTTTTACTCATTTTTACTAAAGTTACTATTAAATCCTCGAGCTGAGAATACACTTCTAATTTTATGGAAATATCAAAGGACACAGACTAAGGATTTTGCTTTTATCAAGATGCTTATTTGGTTTGACAGGTATCAGACACTATCAATAGGGTGGGAATTATATGGGCTATCATGCAACCTTCTAATGAAATTATGGTCAAAGCAACTGCAGTTATAACGATAATGAGTCAATCAAACCACAAACACAATGCAAAGTGAATCATTCAGACAGAGATCCACCAATTTGAGAGAACTTTCAACCCAATGTAAAATGCACTAATCAACATGCAATATGATAACATATTTGTCACATAGCATATAGATCCATGGAAAGGCTACCATGTGTGTAGCAAAACCAGATTTAAAAAAGATACCATACTCATTAACATTGTGAACCCAGTGAGAACGAAAATAAAAGGGCGAAAGCAGGGTTCTAGGCACTGAATAAAATTTAACAACACCTTCATAAAACACAACTACCAGATGTATGTCAGAACCTAGCAGCCATGAACATCTTGGCCGGTAAATTTAATCCTTCTTCTTTTCCTTTAAAGGTCCCCTTGGAATCTTACTTAGAACTTTTGCATCAAAAACTGCATACTGCTTCTTAATCTCATGCATTGCTTTCTCAGCAAATGGGTCCACTTTGTCCTCATATTTCTCGTATACCACTGGTACAGTGTGAAGCAGTACGAAAACTGTTTTGCCAAAACATTAAAATAAAATCAGAAAACCAAAATGTTTATAAGAGGGGAAAAACAAAGCGCTTGAAGGCAACTCCAATACCTATGTAGAAAAGTGTCAAGAAGTTGCACCAACTTCCCACGATAGACAAGACCCACAAGCCAGCAATCACCTGAACAATCACAAGGCCATTCCAATATGGTTGTCAAATGCATAACAACATAATTCAAAATCTTCATATGAATAAAATCGTCAGGACACAGCAAGTCATGTAAGCATGTAACCATTGTATAACTATGTTAATTACAAGTTGGCCGAATAATTGTAAATGATCAACCACATACAGAGAGGAACTTCTTAAGATCTCTTCCTGATGCAATATCCCGCAGGACAGCAAAGGCCTGGTTAATCTCAAACCTAAGTGCTTGGGCAAACTCTAAAACAGGTTCCTTAGGGATTTGAACTTCAGGAATGCGTGGTGGAGACCTATTCAAAACAATTTACATTAGCATGAGCAAAAAGAAGCCCATATCCAAATATAACCCGAAAAGTAGACAACAAATTCAACAGCTTACTTGTTGATGAAGGTGGTAGCATTTGACCACAAGAAGAGTATAGCAAGAGCAAGAATCAACAAGTGACACACTAGAGTGAGAAGGTAGTATTCGAGCAATTCAAACAAAACCCATATCACAGTTACAACACCAAGCGCTCCTGCTGAAACTTTTTTGTCCCTCCACAGGAATATATCGGCCGCTATTACACACACCCAATTTCATCACATAAGTATGCATCATAAAATCAATTGGAGGCAAGAAGTAATAATTACTGTTGATAATCACATAAAAATATCAAATTAATATCATCGGGGAAGGTTTTTAATAATCAATACTAATACGATATGAAACTTCTAATAAAATGAGATATTCCCAGAATTCGTTCGCTCATAAAGCAAAAAAGGAAAATTTTGCTATAACTAATCGCATCAATTAAGTTAAAGATCTATACGATATGAAACTTCTAATAAAATGAGATATTCCCAGAATTTGTTCGCGCATAAAGCAAAAAAGGAAAATTTTGCTATAACTAATCGCATCAATTAAGTTAAAGATCTATAAATTTCCTTTTTTTTTAATGTTGAAACAAATGTTAACAGATCAAGACCACTCAAACAACATCAATTAAAAGCTCGATCTAAATCACTAAGCCAAATCTACCTCTTCAATCACCACCAAAAAATTTTAAAAATGGGAATTTTAATCCGATTCAGAACGGAAATCGAAGCTTTAAAAAACCAAGACTTCTAAAAACCCTCAAAAATAGACTGAACACATTTAAGAAATGAAAAAGCCGGTTTTGTAACATACGTTTGCCTCCACCGAAAACGTGGTAAACGGGCCTTTCTCTTCCAAAGAGACGGAAGACCTTGGCCTTGGTCGACGATTCCGATGGCTTATCGTCATCGGAATCCGACGATGATGACGATGAATCATGGCGGTGGATCTTCTCTGCTAGCTTCTCCATCAATGATTCCTCGTGCTTCTCTTCGTGCTCAGCCATTTTTTTTAACCCAAATTCTAAAACCCAAACTACTCGTTTCGAAAAGTTAGAGGATTGAAAGGAAAAAAACACCAAAACACTCGTGAAGTGAAAATTTTGAGTCCTTAAAGAAGAAACCTCTTTTCTGGCCAAATAGAGAACGTAACACGTTATATTTAATCTGAACCGCTTAATGAGAAGGCTTTGATCTGGACCATTGATAGGTGTTTGGCAATCCGAACCTGTAGGCTTGGAGGAAACCAGGACCCGAAGTGGAACCGGTGGAAAAAGATAAATCAATGGGAAATACGTTTATATGTTCGAGGATTAACGGCCGTTTTGCTTTGACGAGACGTACGTGCATGAAACAACTGGACAAATATTATTTCGACACGTGGAACTTCGTGATCCATCCGATTTCGTTTACCAAATTGCTGAGGTAAAGATAGGTAATTATGCCATACTTATACTGCGGGTGCATTTGGAGTCCTAAATTGTCAAGCAAATCGTAAGAAAATTTATGACTTTAAATTCATAACCTTAGGAAAACAAAATAAAATAAAATAAAATAAAAATGACCAGATTTAATTACGGACCCACAATTAATAGGTTAGTGTATATTTGTGGACAATAAAAAAAGATAATTTAGCTTAATGAATTATTAATCAGTTTTATTGAATCGATTTCAAAAATTTTCAAAATCATCCTCGCTTAAAACACTAAAAGATAAAAATAATTTTTAAAAAATTATTTAAATATTAATTGTTTTATATAATACTTTTTAATTTTTTTATTATATGTAAAATTGTTAAATTATTAAAATTTTTTAAATGAATTAATAGAATGTTTGATAATTGGGTTTGTAAATTTTTAAATTTACATCTCCGATCACTTTTAAAAGATTTTGAAGATTCTAAATTTACATATTTGAAAACATTTAAAAGTTTTCGAATATGCATAATAAAAAGCTTTTATAAATTTTTTAGAATGTAAATTCAAAAACTTGTAAGACATAAAAAATTATTTTGGAAGGTCACGATTTTAATGAAACAAAAATAACAAATCATAAAACTTATTATCATAAATATATTATTTCTATATTGAAATGAATGAGTTGAAACTATTGATTTCATTAGAAAATTGACAATTTCAAGTTTTGATTTGGGTGAGAATCAAAGGGAAAAAAAAAGGTTTTAGAGGCTTGGGTGTAAAATGGAGGATGAAGATGGTAAAAGAAAGAAATAAAATTTGAGGTTTGAATTTGGGGTGTTAGTAAGAATAAGACGTATAGAGTAAAAGTTTTAGGGTGTAAATAGAATCACTGAAAACAGAATCGTAAATATTTATGCTAAGAATTTTATAAGGGGTGATGCAGTCAGAAAAAAAATTATCTGAAATGGAAGGGTATAGTCAAAGGGTGAAGAAATATCAAGAAATGGAGGTGGGATAAGGTGCTGGTCATGTGTCCTACTCGTTATCACCAGATAGAAATCTATAGCAAATTATGAATTGGTTGGCACACATACCACAAACAAATTTCCGCTGGTAAATGGTTTGAAATTCATCCACAAATATATGTTCGTGTTGGGAACTAAACCTTCAACCAGCCAAAAGAGAAAAACCAAAGGTAAAGCTATATCCCAACTTTTCACCAAGAATGGAAAAAAAAATCCCAAAAAATGTGAGAGAACAGCCACAAGTGGAGTTTCCACATGGGGCCAGATGAAGAACAAATATCCTTTCTCCAAACGAAAGCTACCAAAAATGTGCAGGGGAGACAAATATGTGGCGATGAAAAAGCATCAAAACTTGAAAAAACAGCGAAATATAACTGTCAAAACTCTTTTGAAGATTGTAATAATCAGAAATTTTAAATTGAAAAAGTTGATTTAAGATTCGGAGATTGTCAATCCTCTTCGATATGATGTTGATGACCCTACATACAGCTTCTCTTTGACAAAGCATTCATAAAAAGTGCACACACTTCATGAGTACAACCCCAAGAAGTAAGGATAGTTGTCCCAAACCAAAGTAAAAAGTGACACAGGATATCCATTTCCAGCTCCCAACTAATAGAATTAATGTGATAGTAACTTGTAAAATGCAGCTTCTGCCTAAGGCTACCCATTCATGCTTTTGAACACTATTGCCCACCCTCTCAGGAGGATGAAAATGAAGAAAGAATTAATGCCATGATTTCCTATATATGATGCCTGCTAACAAATCAAAAGATGAATATGCAGCAGAGAAACCTTAAATACATAGAACAGGTTTTTTTTTTAATTACATGCGTGGTCAGGTATGGGGTTTAGAAGTTGCAGGCAATTTAATCATACAAGGAAGTAAACAGATGACTAAAGTCACAAGAGCAGATGCCTACAAGGTAAATCATGTGTTCATGTTCCTACTTACAGCCTACAGCGTATCATAGTGAAGTTTACCTCGACAGCGAAGCTAAACTATATCTGTCCTCAGCCATGGGAGAAAAGAAGAAATTGATGAAGATTATGGCACATCGGTATTGATACTAATAGTCCTGTAACTTATTTGAATTTGATGTTAAAAAAGACTAGAAGTGCTGATTTCAGTTACTTGGCTTGTCAATTTTAGGAGTCCAACAATTCAACAAACGTGACAAGGCTAAAAGAAAAGGTTTCCACAGTGGAACAAGCAGGTCATGTGCCTCCTTTGAAGTGAAGTATTAGAAACTATCAGTACTAGTAGCATTTACGTTATTATAAATTTAAAGTGCGTAACAGTGTCGAGATGGAAGAGAAACAGAAAGCAGATGCTTTAGCTGTTTTCTAAGAATCAAGCTATTGACAAATCTGATCTATGCATCTCTAGAAAAAAAACAATTCAGAAAATTGGTTGCTCAGGAGATAAAATGCAAGTAAAGCTGATAAAATTCTGCACACATCAACCCAAAATTTTCATTTTTCATAACGATTGGGTGGAGAGAAACTAAAATGTTTAATTTGGGATATTCATCCATGTCGCATGTTGGCATCTCATTAGTAAAGAATCATTAACATCATGATGCTGTCTGAGTAATATGGGGTTTCCTATCAGTTTAAAGTTAGTAGCTAAAGTTAACTTCAAATATAGGTCACCTATGAAGCAAATAAGTGAGTAGATGCCTTGCCAGTTGCCATAGATGACACTACATACAGCCACCTTGCCTTGGCTAAGCATGACTAGATCAGTGAGTAGGATTTCACCGGTCACTCCAATTATTCCTTCCAAGTTCTCATTTGTCCCATTGCCATAATATCCTTATCATAGTCAACAAAATACCTTGACTCTCTTATATGTGCCATTACCTTTGTACGATCTGTGTATCTAGTACTTTCACAGACCTAAAAGAAAGTGCTTTGAAACAGACTGACCATATTTCTGAAAGTGTTGGTGGTGGCTTGGCTGCCGGCTATTAGACTATATCATATCCTTTTCAAGTTGTTTGATTCATATGATAAGCTTCCTTAGCTTGTAAAGTTATGGAATTTTGCTGTATTTTGGCAGCAATTATAGAGTCGATGGATCAGAGAACTAGTTAAACAGAATCTCTCACTGACTAGCACGATCTTAAATACTGCTATTTGTGGCTTGTTCTGAATACTGCTATTTGTGGCTTGTTCTGAATGCCAATCAAGGTTTAATTCTTATGATTGTGTCCAAAACTTTTGACAGATAAATTGTAATTAAAAATGACTTATAGCAAATCCTACTAATCGAGGCATATCTGTAGAACCAATGATTGCCTTATTATATTCTGTTGCAAATCCTATCTATTGCTTTGTCGGCAAAAGTTAAGTTCCGGGAATCATGAAATACTTGCGGATGTATAGAGACAATGGTAAGCAGGATCTCTGTTCCAAAATGGGGGACTGAAGAAAGCGGGTTGGTGCGCAGCTCAGGGGCTTAGCTACCTCCCAGCCTCCTAAAACCCAATCAAAGATCACTCTACCAAAACATGTTCTCCAAATTTGGATTTACCTTCATCTGAATCTAGACATCATACACAAAATATTGCAAGAAATGGCATGATCATAATTTTGCATCCCAGTCTGCAAAAATCTCCTGATTTTTCATATGCAGACACCAAAAATATCTTAACTAATGCATTGAGAAGTACTCCTAACCTGATTCTTTATCAAGATCCACCAAATAAAAGACCAGACTGCAATTTGAACTCCCAACAGTATTTTGCTTGCAATATTGCAAATAAAATGACTTTGAATGTTTCTTGAATCTTGATCAAGCAAACATTAAAGCAGAAAAACATGCGTATTGAATTAAATGAACCAACAGTAGATCAAAGTAGGCATATAAAAAACCAACATCTCATCACGAGTTGTGTTCCCTTTTCTTCACCCATAAACTTTTTTTTTCTTCATTTTTAGGTTATATAATATAGGGAAAAAGCAGCAAAAGTATTGGATGATCCTAAAATACTAAACAAACTAAAAGGAGAAGCAAAGAAAAAGAACAAACTGCTAGAGAAAAAGTATAGTAGGGTAGCATTAGAATTACCTCATTTGATGCTGTAAAGTGAGACAAAGCAATGAAGAAAAAATATATAGCCTTCTTTTACTGGCTTCATGATAGCAGCTTGTACTTTGTATATGCTTTCAGATAACAAGGACTTCAGCTTCAATGCTGGGAGTTGTTCATTGACCATATTTGAAGCCAATTTCTGAGAGCTTTTCCATGTGAATTTAACAGTATTTGTACCTGGCATATTGCTTTGTTTGGAAAAAAGAATATGTCAACGAATATGCGCTGGGTACCATGTGCCTGGTTTCTCTTATCCACCGATAACTATAGTCCCTTTTTTTTTTTTTTTGTTTCTGTCATGGAAAAAATTGTCTGCTTACGCTAGAAAATGAAAGACAAAAAATTAAATTGTCTCTAGTAGTTGTGATACATGCCAATCATGTAAAGGATTGTGACCCAAAAAAGTTGTTGGTAAATGAAGCAAGTAGAACAAAACAAAGCATGCCAGAACTTTTTTTCTTCATTCTAGTATTCAAAAGTGGAGAAAACCTTGCAGTTGGGCCTTTTGGGAACTTAAAAACAAGCCAGAATACTTGGGCCTAGCTTCATGGCTGAGGAACCTGTTGACCAGAAAATGGAGTGGTTTGGGCTTAGGGAGAAAATGATCTATCAACCCAATAAACCTGCAAATTTAACAACAAGGTGGGCAGTTGCCAAGATTTGGTTACGTTCTTTAATAGACGTATCGAATATAATCTCTGTTGATGGATCAGCAGAGCAACTATAAAAGTACCAAAAAAATTATGGAGTTAGAAATGGGAAATGATGGAGCCTTGAACCTGAAAAGGAAGGACTTGTTGTTTTCCACGCAATAAAAGATCAAAGAAAGAAAAGGGAGAAATAATGGGCCATATCCTCCGGAAAAAAAATGCCAGAGCTGTGATTACCATCATAATTTTAGTGGAAATTTTTTTTTTAAATATTGTAAGATATACTTTCAACAAATCATTATTTTCGCAAAGTTTCATGTGATCTATTGATGTAAATACAAATGAATGTGGGATATGGGTTTTTTTTTTTTTTTTGGTTTAGAATTTTTGTACCTTGCCTCCAAAAAAAAAAGGACAAATAGTTAGGAAATCGGGGGATTTTAGTGGATAACACCCCTTTCTGAACTAAAGTAAAAGGTGACTCTAGTTACTTGAACCTATATAGTTTTAGTTTGCATCATTTACTTTATAGTAAAAGGTAACTCTTTCACCTCCATTGCAATTTGAAATACCTCATCGAAATGGGGCAGATGGGCACTGAGCAGTCCCTTATCAACTCTAACACGAAAGCATGAAATCTAGAACCAGTCTTTAGTCCTTCGTGCAAGAAAACTGACATATAATGTGGAAAGAAGGGTTAGGGTTATGCCAATCAGACCGAACTAGAAAATATCTCGAGGTCAAAGCTATCTTTAAGTGAAAAAGACACTCTCAATCGGAATTCGGGTTCTGCTTCTGCAGCCTGCAGAGTTTGGACCCCGGGATTCAGTTCTTTTCGTCTATAAAAAAAGACAAACGTGAGATCAACTCAGACATAGTCTCAAGTTTAAAGGCAATAGTCAGAGATGATTGCTTCGAGAATCAAAACCACCTTCCTTCTTTTTCTTAAACTGTGCCCAGACGCTCCTTGGTCTTTCACTCTTCTCCCCTCTTCCTGGAAAGTTCAACCATCCACCTTTTCTTTCTTTGATAATTTCTGTAAAACTTTATGAAACAATAATCATGGTGGTTAATAAGCTAGCGCAAATGATTAAGATTTAGGTAAAATATTTAGATTAAAATCCCATTATCTTTCATTATTAGATAATTTATAAGTTTAAAAAATCTTTAAAAATTTATAATTTTTTTTATGAGCCGACGATTTGTCTTGATCAATCCAACCTACTTTAATCTTAGAAATGAGACAATTTCTTCGATTTTTAATCTTAGAAGTTTTAATTTGAGGTATAATAATATCATAAAACCATATGACTACATAATGATTTGAGGTTTTAAATCATCATACAAGATTCCAAAATTGTATAATTATAGGCTCAAACATCACAGAGAACAAAACTATAGTTAAAGAACTATTATCCAAGTCCAACTCATCAATACATGAAGTTATTAGAAAGCAAAAAGGATGAGTAGGAAGAGTTGACCGTGAGATAAATTTAGGGGATAATGTATAGAATTATTATTTTATTTATGTAAATGATCTAAATTTACTGCTAATATTTCAATTGGTATAATTTTATCATTATATTTTTAATTTTAAATTAAATTTATTATCATATTTTAAATTTTAGAGCAATTAAAATATATTAAGTAGAAAATTTTGTTAGAAACAGTTTTAAAATTAAAAATGAAAAAAAAGTTCAAGATTAATTAAAAAGTATGATACGATATTATATGCGGTAAAAATACATTATAAAATAAAAAATAAAATTATATGACATTATATTTAATAAAAATATCATAATAAAAATTAAGAGATGTGATTAATATTATATACTCTGAAATACCAAATCAATCATCTTAATCCTAATTTATCTATCTATAATTTAACAAAAAAATCTGTCATTTTATCACTTTTTTTTTTGGCAGATATACCATAAGAACTGGGTTTTCAATTCAAACCGTTTAGATTTTTTTTTTCCGATCAAGATTGTTTGGTTTTTTTCTCTTAAGTCTGCTTTCTTGGTTACGTTTCAGGCTGAGTTTCATTAGATGTCATCGGATTTTTTTACGTGGGTTTTGCTTCTTCCATTTTTATTTAAAATTTTCCTGCTTTTTATATTTTTCCAGACAATGTTTAATTTTTTCTGTATAATCTTCTTTTTTAATAAGTAATTATTCATTTTAATTAGAGTTAATGTGATTTAATTAAGCTAATGAGAGTTAATTTAGTGAAAAGGAGTGTATAATGCTAATTACATGTATTTAAAAAAATATAAGATATATTTCTTTTTTTTTGGTAAAAAAATATTTAATCGAGTTACATGTATTTAAAAATATAAAATATATTTCCTTTCTCTCTTTACTGTCCTTTTTTTTCCCCTTTGGTAAAAAAGCTTACCCTTATTCGCTCTCTCTCTCTCACTCAAAAAATATCCCTCCTTTTTTTTTTTTTTTTCTTGTTTTATTTACTCCTATCCTCTAAAAGCCCGTCTTAAAAGAAGACTCAAAAATTGTGTTTTTCTATTCCGGCTCTCCCGACAATGGAAGCTTTTAGCTTGCTTAAGTATTGGAGAGGAGCCGATACTAACGGTGGAGGTGGTGGTAATGCTTGTGTTAGTGCATGTTCAGCCACTACTGCCGACCGCACAACTACAATTGTGACGGCGGTGGGTACGGATGATAATGGTGACGATGATGGGCCTTTCTTTGACCTAGAATTTGCGGTTTCTGATGAGGATGAAACAGAGGAAAACGAAGAGATTGATGAAGAAAGTGAGGATCAAAACGACGACGTTGATGCAAAATCAGATGATGATGGCTGCTCGGATGGTGAAAGAGAGTGCAATTTCACACTCTCCTCTGGCTCCGGTGACGACCCTTCTGATCCAAACTTAACTCTATCTTCTTCTGATGATTTGTTCGTTAAAGGTAGCCTTGAAGCCATTGAGCCAAACTCCGCTTTGGACTCGAAGCCTCCTCAATTCCCTGTCTCATTGTTGAAATCAGCAAGCAAGTTTCGAGTTTTCTTGTTAAGATTCAGAAAATCAAAGCTCAACCCAACTGAAAAAACAGAGTCGGTTTCTGTCCCCACAGCTACACCAAAAAAACAAGAAACAACCCAAGAAGAAAACAGGAACAAGTTTTTTACAGTGAAATTTAAGGTTGAAGAGGTTCCTATAATGTCTTTGTTTTCCAGAGACAACAGCAAGTCACGGAAACAGCAGAGCTCTGAAGACTCAGTTTCCGATGAAAAGAAATTCTCCAAAGATGTAATGCAAAAATACTTAAAGAAAGTTAAGCCTCTTTACGTCAGGGTTTCGAGAAGGTACGGTGGGAAGTTACGGTTTTCTGGGCAGTTAAGCTTGGGTTCTTTAAAACCTGCAACGCCACCTTCTACAGCAGCTCAGAAATCGGTTTCAGGGAAGGTAACGACGGCGGAGAAGGGACGGATTGAGGTGGATATGGGGGAGAGTCAGGTGAATGGGAAGAACCTCAAGCAGGTGAATATTCCAGCGGGACTTGGAGTGGTTTATAAGCATTTGGGAAAGAGTAGATCGGCTTCCTCCGCCGTGGCGGCGGCTCTTCCTGCTCCGACTTTTTCTAAGAGGAGAGATGATTCTCTGTTGCAGCAACAGGATGGAATCCAAAGTGCCATTTTGCATTGTAAGAGATCCTTTAATGGCTCTCAAGGTATTTCATTTAAAACTCATCACTTTACTTAAGGATTAGCCTTTTTTCTTCTTGTTCTGTTTCTGAATCAGTTTTGATTCCTTTTTTCTGTCATAGATTCTTCAGAGTCTTCCGTGTTACCAAGGTCTGCGAGTGACCCATCTGATGAGAAGTCAATTAATTTATCATGAAAACCATCACCAGCAGAAGCTAAAGCATGAATACTAAAAGTTTTAAGATCAACCGCGAAAAACTGGGGGAAAAAGCGGGAAAATTTGTCCTTTTTTCAGTGAATCAAGCATGGATTAATATTTCAGGACAAAGAAATGAGTTTGTGAAGACTACTGTTTAGTGGTTACTAATAGTATGTAAAGCTCCTCTTTATGTGAAAAGTGAAAGAAGAATCAGATCTTTGTATCTATTTTTGAAAAAAATTCGAAGTTTGATATGAAGGCTCCTTCATTATCAATTCCCCTTTTTCCCATTGAACACTTTGGAATTCAAATTTTTAAAATGCGGGTAGCTTTTGATTTGGATTTGTTATTCATGGGACCCGGAGTCAGGAGTCAGGAGGAGTCTTTAGGACAAATGCTGTCTTTAGTGGTCAGAGAAGTGGGAAAGTGGAAACCGAATCAGTAAAAAAGGAGATTTTCTTTTCTTTTCCTTTTTCCCAAAGGAAGAGAGAAAAGAACAGAAACAAACAAGGTTAAAGATTAGGCGGCAGCAGATTGGAATGGGATGGAAGGAATTGGAATTATTTGGAATTGGCGTCTCTATTACGGCAAAAATCCCACCATTTTTACCTTTCTTTTTTAGCCTACGCAGCAGCCCATAAACGAGTTCTTTGATGGCTCATTATTTCTTGTCTTCTTGCGGCAGGCTTGGGTCCTACAAAAGCGCTGCCGAGTGCCTGCCTCGCCACTTTGCTACGTTTGTGGGCAGACCCTAATGTCTTGTTGGTCAGCAATCAGATTCTTAACCTAACTAAGGTTTCTCCGCCCTTTTTGAAAACTGGTTAATTTTTGTGTTTTAGCAGCAGCCGCCATTGGCCCCAACTTTTTCTTGCTCAAGCTGCTATTATATGAATAAACTTATTCTTCATTTGCTTGCTAAACCGTACAAAGAAATGAAGCAAACAGATAAAGGATGGTAGAAAGAAAAATGAAGTGAGTTTTGAAGTGTAATAAATCGAGTAAATGATTGTAGTAAGAATCTTTTAGTGTCCGACGCACGAATTCGAAAGGATTTATAATTTATTTGGATAATTAATAAGATTAATTTTAATGAGATTAAAAATATTAATAAAAATTATTGTAATTGTAATTAAAAAAATTATTATAATTATGATAAAAAATTTTAATAAAAATTTTATATTAAATAAATTTTATTAAAATTAATATTTAAATTCAGTTTACGATTATTAAAATTTAACTACACTTCCTTTTAGGTGTAGTTGCGTCCAAACGTAAGCTTAATATCGACATTATTCTGTTGGACCAATACTTTGACTAGTGAACTAGAAAGTGTACTCGGACTTAGGGCTGTAAACGAGCCGAGCCGAGCCGAGTAATGAGAAGCTCGAGCTCGAGCTCGACTCACAACTTCGGGCTCGATACTCGATTCGAGCTCGATCGAGTTTTATTTTTCAAGTTCGAACTCGATTCGTGATCGAATTCGAGTTATTCGAGCTCGCTCGATTAAGCTCGATTAATATGTAAAAATAAGCTCGATTCGTATACTCGACAAGAGTTCGATTATTCATGCTCAAACTCGAACTCGGATTCGAAATATTTTATTAATTAAAAAAAATAAAAATATATTTAAATATAAAAGCTCGATTAGGCTCGCGAGTTACTCGAGTCAGATATAAGAATACTCGAATTCGGTTCGATCGGTAAGTCGAGCTACTCGAGCTCGAGCTCGACTCGACAATAATCGAACCGAATTCGAATTTTTTTCGAATCGAACCCGAGTAACTTGCGAGTACTAATGTATCATTTACACCCCTATTCGGACTAAAGATTGAAGCACACTGTCCCTTCAGAAAAGAAAACAAAAGAATACCGAATTATAAGCTCTGGGTAACCCTTTTTAGTCATAATTGTGCCATATTTGACTCTATTTTTCGGAAAGAGAACTATTCAATACATGTTCCAGTGAGCCCTTCTTTAGGGTATATGTATGATCTTACAAGGACCCTAAGGCTATTTGTTTAATTATCAGAAATTTTCCTTGTGAAACCTGCATGTGTCTTAATTTGCGGCATTCTTTAAAAGCATCTTCATGAATCTTCCCAACTATGTAATGTTAGTCCATTTTCTTGTTCCGGCATGTGAGTGAGAATATGCCAATTCTCGTATATTAAAAAATCTGATTCATTTGATGAAGTTAAGTTTCACGTCTGGTCAAGTTTTTCTTTCTTGGGAAGCCATAATATGCATGCACTTGAAAAGGCTTTTGACAAGGAAAGTCCCCAAACGTGTTCAGCAACCTGAGGAAGAAGATTGGCTCTGATCCAGGGATTATATATGCCTGCCTTTTTCCTCTTCGAAGTTCCTACCTCAATAAGCATGTAGGTCATTTTGAAATAAAAATAAAAATAGAGATATGATTACATATTATCTCATTTCGAGCATGATTGAACTCTTTTATCAATGATTGTGACTAACGACATTCTAACTTGAACATGAATTCATGTTGGAGAGGAATTTTTGTAACATGAAGAGAACACAAAACAAACGAGTTTTATTCGTCGGTTGTTGTGATTGTGTTTTTTATGCACAAAAACGTATGACCCAGAAAAGGAGTTTTAAATGAACTAAAAGCCGTCTGCCATTTGCACAATCCAGTCATTGAATTTATTATTATTTTTTGAAAAAAAAATTAAGATCGAATGGCATCCTTTGACTTGATGTTTTACTTATTTTGTCAATCAATAGATATTCATGCAATCGTTTTCAACTATAAATTTCAAGTTGATTAGCTCGAAAATCAATTGTTTTCTTTTTAATAATTAAAATATTTCCATTACCCACCTAAAAAGACAATCTAAATTGTACGTCAACACTAATAACATGTAGGATTCTATCATACAAAAGCTGTAAAACCAAGCTTCCTCACGGGTTGGCCTTATAGCTGTTTTGCAAATTCTCCCCTATTCTCCCCATTTTTATTTTTATATTATTAACAATATTTAAATATATTTTAACTCTATTATTATTATTTTTTTTATAATTTTTTTATTTAATCAAACTTCAATTAGTTAAATTTCTTTTCAAAAAATATTTATCCAAACAAAATAATTACGTAATAATATTTTGAATTCATGCTTCTTAGAGTACATTTATTTTAAAATATTTTAAAATTTTCATTCAAGCTTATCTAAATATCTAAATTTAAGCTGATCATGATCCTACGGAGATGCCACCAACCTACGATTTGTGATAAGCAGGCATTGTTTTATCTCTTAGCGGCTAAAAGATTATTCTGTAATTTTCATTTTTCATTCCCTTTTACGGAGGCTAGCTTATAAGTTAGTTGGCTGCCTGTCGAGAAAAGAGAGTATACAATCACAATCTGTGAATCTATGAAATGTGAACTTGGCTTTTCGTATATGTTAAGGAAAGGAATTGGTAGGTCTAAACACATTGACTTTAGATGATGCTAAATCCTGTCTCCTGTCCGCTATGACAGACTTCAATGGTTGGAACTTTCCTTTTTATTTATTCCATTCCTGGCGCAGAAATTTCTATATCTAGCTTGAAAAAGGCGCAAGAAGCAGGACCGGCAAATGGGCCATTGCGAAGTTGAAAAAAAAAAGGAAGTTTAGGATATCTACGATGTACCAAGGGACTGGGAAGAGGAGCAGAAATTAAAGCCCATGCGAACTCCATTGAAACTTGATCATCTTTTCTGCTTTGGCTTTTTTTTCTTGCAAATTGCAACGGTCTAAGCCAACATTAATGAAAAGTAATAAAGTAAAGCAAAAAGATTGAAACTACATCTATTTTAATCATATTTTCTTTTTCTTTTATTTGTGGAAAAAGATTGAATCTGAACAACAAACATGAACACGCTTTGCTCTCTTCTCAATTATCATCATAAGTCAAATCACAAACAGGCTTTAATTTGGCATTAATTAGTATTGTGTTATGAGAATTAATGCTGAAGAAACTTAAATGGAAGAAGATAAGTGTACTCAAAATAATGTAGAGAATTTAAGGCTCGTTAGGTTACTCGTTGCATACGACAGTGTGGGCGCCAATGAACTTTTAATTGGATTTAGCAAGTTGACTGTTTTCTTAAGCGACAATGACTCAAATCCAGCCATCTCAATGTTAAATGTTAGGCCGCCATTCATACAGAAACAGTAACACTTCTAATAATATCATCAAAATAATGATTCAAAGAAGTATTTTTTATACTAAATATTAACAAAAATTGTTCTCAATTAGTCTTTCAAGAACATGGGTTTTCAAATCAAGAATCTAGTTAAACATATGTGATCGTAAATGCTTATATCTTTTAATGAAACAAAGACAACTCTACAAAACCAAAATTAAAAAGAGGGGAAAAGTTCACCATTCATACATCAGTCGCATGTTAAATTCTGTATGGTCTGCCCTGTCAAATTAAGGGTCATGAAGCAATTCATCTCAGGGTACCTTCTCCTCTTCATAATATTCAAAATATTAACTTTTCCACTCAATTTAACATTGCTGTTCAGCTCTAAAAACCCAGAACTTATATTAGTGCTTAAGCTCTTCATATCTGATATCCTGAGTGAGCTCACATCCACAGAAACATTCAACCTCTCTGTTGCCCTAGCTTGAGCTCTCCCTGTAGGTATTTTCACATCTCCAACGACTATAGAACCACATGAAACACTGCCAGTAGTGTTCTCAAACCTGAAGTCTCCGAAATTGGTATTCCCGACAGTAACCTCCGTTAAAAGTGTAAAATTAAAAGATGGAGCCGGTGAATTGCCAAACTTGAGAGTTCTAACCGTGACTGATCGGATCTCGAAATCAGGAGTTCTAGCACGTAAAACAACACTCGCAAAAATCAACAGAACCGCTCCCTGGATGACCATTATAGCAAGAACATAAACAAGACATTTGCTGCTCTTTTCTTCTCGTGGTAACGCTTTGGGTTTAATCCCCCCAAACTCCATGTCGCTTCTTGAATATTGTTGAACAGGTGCCAGTGGCTTGGCCTGAGGGTCTTCTTGCATATTTTTTCTAGGCGAAAAAAAAAAAAGATTGCTAGGGTTTTCCGATAGGTATTTTTGGTTTAATCAAGGATCAATAGCCCCTGGATTTTTGCTCTTTGGGCTTTTTCTTATGAGCTATAGACAAGTGGACAGCAATTTATTATATAGGTAACGAAGGGGACTCCAACAACCGCGTTGAACTAGTGTTGAAGTGTATTAAACCTTAATGGGTCACTCTTGTTCTACAAGGCGGCCATTATAGTAACTTACAACTGAAACCGACTAACAATTTTTTTTTTTCCTTAGCCGTGTCTATCTGTCATAGTAATCTACTTTTAAATTGGAGGACCGGAGGAATCTCAATGACTCATTTGCTGAATTTATATTAAAAAAAAAGGAAAAATTAAAGAGGAAAAGACTGATCATTTGCTCGAGGTTTGTTGTAAAGGGAATAAAAAGATGGATCAAAGGTCACTTTCCATCGTGAGTATCGTTTTATTTAGCTGGATCCCTAAAGATTTAGTCATTCTCGACGCTCACTATGCATCCAAATGGGATATAAAGCAGCCACAAACTACTTGTTGTCAAAACATGTCCATGACTATTAAAAGTCTCCGTTATGACAAAAAAATTTAAAGTTTCCTTTAAGTCGATCGGTTTGGGAAAGTAATTAATTATAATTAATATTTAAACCCACTTATTATGATTGTATTAAGTTTAATTGAATTTTCATGAAAAATTAAAATTTTAATTAAAGTTCTCAATTTCTCATGATTCAAATCAAATCTTATTTTGTTTATCTTATAATATGATCATGATTCGAGTTAGGCTTTTATATGTTACTTTTTTGGTAGAAGTTATTTTTATATATAAAAAAATGTGAACAAAATTCAACAGAATGAGAAGTCAAAATGGTAAAAAGCTTTTTTTTTTTTTTTAACATCAAGCATTAAGTCTTTATTTATAGACCCAACTACCTAAAATTAAGTAGTTATCTCTATCCTATACCTAAATTATTTTCCTTTTAAATGGACAGAGGTATTCTCTAATTTTATCTGGATCTAAATCCCTACCAAGAAAAATTAAACATCCAAATGATAAATGAATCACAACTAGATAAATACAACAAATCCTGAGGATTAAAAGAATAACTATCAGATAAATATAAAATTATCCAATAAATCAAGTAGTAACCGAATTGCATGTTGCCATAATTCCCTTGTCGTCCACGGCGAATCATAACATCTTATGATGCAAATTCTAGTCTTCAAATTAAATTAAAATGTCAATCTAAAATATGTCCCTTTTAAAGAATAGAAAGGTTAAAATTTTAAAGGGTATTATTTTATAGTCCTCCATTACAATAAAAATATATTTAAAGGTCCCTAAACATAGTTGATATTAAAATTAATATTATTAGATTTTTTTTTTAAATAATTAGAAGTCATCAACCCTTTAATTAAAACCAATACTCAAAATGTCATCTAGCATTTTGGGCTTTTCAAGTCAACTGATATTCTTAATCTTCTTCTTTTTTTTTTTATCATTTTATTTTGATAATTAAATTTAAAACGAAAGCTAAACCACATTCTTATTACACATCATATATATATATATATATATATATATATATATATTACAACATACATGGTTATTAGATAAGGTTTGTTGATGTGGATGCTTATGTGAATAGTTTTTCTTTTTGACACTTCAAAAAATTACTAAAATTTCTCTTTATAATGATATATAAGATATTTTTTAATTTTAGATTATTTATAAAAAATAAATTTCAAAATTTATTTAATTATCCAAAACTTTTAAAATTTAAATGAAAAGCCAATTTAGATTTAAAATAATTAAAAGGATAAAATTATTTTTTTTATTATGGTATGATTTTACTTAAATAAATAAAATTAATTCTTATTTTTTATTTGTGGATTAAATAAATTTATTTAAAAAATTATAGGTTATCCAAATCTTTTTAAGATATATTTATTTAAAAATTTTAAATTATCCAAAGTTTTTCTTTTTACTAAAAAATATCATCTTTCTTTGTCAAATACACCTTTAAATATATCTTTTTATTTTTAAAATTTAATTTTCTAATAATTTTCTAATAATTAGTTATATGAATGGGTTTGGACATGGGATTAGTCTTAAATTTTAAAAATATCAAATATAACTTTATCTTAATAGATTTAATGATAATCTTTTATTATTTAAAAGAATAAAATTTAATCTCTTAATAATTTTATACATGATTGTTTAATATCATTATTTAACATCAATTTGATTTTTTTTTGTCATTGTTTTCCATTTTTGTGTTAACTCATTTTCTTTTTATATTAAAAAGTGAAAGTTATAGAAGCATTTATTTATTTTTTTGGATACTTATAGTAAGCACACAGCCTTTAACTTTAACTTTGTTTTTATATATAGATTACAAGATGTAAAATTATGTAAACACATATAATCTTATATTTTGTAGGTGCTGTCTACGGATCTTTTCTCCTTACTTTTGACTTTTCATTTAATTAGATAATATTTTTTCTTTCAATTGGCTTTATTTTTTCATATATTATAAAGTGCAAAATTACAGAAAATATTTTTTATTTTATTTTGTAAGTACTATCTATAAACTTTTTTCTTTATATTTGACTTTTCACTCAATCAAGTAATATTTTTTTTAATTCAACTTTCTTATAATATGCAAAAACACTTTCATTAATAGTTTGCTTGATTACATTGATTTGAACCTACTATTTATATAAAAATATTGTTACAAATAACAATAACTAATTGACATTTGAAATCATATTTTATGTATGTAATATAATTAGCGCATAAATTAGGATTTTATATAAAAATTTGTAATATACTATACTTATTCCTCTTCAAAGTCATAACACTCTTTTTATGTATAAAAAAAATTAGGATAAATTGAAATCTAATTTGATTTCATTCTTTCTTTTTTTTTTCAAATTAAATCTCATTTAGTAAGCACTTGATAATTTCTTAAACATAATTTTTAAAAAAATATGAATTTAAAAATTAAGAAGTGTCTATGAATTTGGTGGCATCCAGTTGTAAATATTTTTAAATTTTAGATTCTATCTGACTCAAATTATTTATTTAATTTATATTTATTATTTAAATGTTAAAGTTTTATAATATTAAATATATTTTAAAATTTAAATTAAATAATTTTTAATATAATAATATTTTGAATCCATACTTAAAAAGTTACACATAAAATCATAAATCTGACCTATAATCTAAATAATGAATAGGTCTACTTGCTAATAAAATTAAAAAATTATATTCAATTGCAGTCCATTTGTGTATTTTTTTTTTCTTTGCTTGAATCTTAAAAACATTCATTAATCAAATATGAATATGAATTTAAAAATATGTATATTCTTAATTTATTTTAATAAGTTTAATTAAATTAAATTTATTTAACTAACTTTTTAAGATTTAATTGATATAAAATTCTATATTTTCATATGATAAATAATATTATCATACTTAAAGTGTATGAGATAATTTGGTAATAAAAAAATTGAAATTAAAAAAATAATTTGTGATTTAAAAAAAAACCCTTATAATTAACCATAACTTATAAGATTTTTTTCATTGTATTTTAAATATAAATTAATTTCAAGCATAAATAGTTAGATATATATGATTTTGTCTTTCTTTTAAACTTTAAAATTTTGAATAACTAATAATTTTTTAAATATATTTATTTGATAAATAACATAAAATTAGAAATGATCTTACATGTCATCATGAAATAAATTTTTTTACACACACAATTTATTTTTGATTACATTATTAAATATATAACAAATAATTAGATTAAATAATAAGTAATTTTTAACTTGCTACATCACAAACTAAATCTCCTATAAAAATTTTTAATTACAATTGAAAAATAATTAATTAAATAATAATTAAAACTAAATTAATAAAGTAAAATAATCCATGCATTGCACGCATTGCACAGGTAACAAATTAGTATATATATATATATATTCTAATTACTTATCTATAACCTTAAAAATGAGCAGTTTAACTTGGAATTTAAAAATTATATTGTGGGTTTAATATGGTGTAAAAAAATGAATTTAAAATCATATTGAAGAAAGTATAACAAAAGATAAGAAGAGTCCATAGAACTTTTCCAAACCTTTAAAGCACTCTTCTCCAAAGTCACAATCTACTTTTAGGATAATTATTGACCCTTTTATTGCTTTGCATTAAGGAAAAGTGGAAAGCCATGCCCTTGCCCGTACGCACATGGTCACATGGGTTAATTAAGGCATTAATTACAACTAAAATAGAGCAATATTTTTGTGGTTAGACATCAACGCAAGATTATTTATTATTTTTTTATAAAAAATTGTCACAATCTAAAAATTAAAAAAAAATTATAGATTTTCGTATTTTAAACGTTACTTTTTAAAAATAATCATATAAATAAATTGAATTAAATATTGTTAATAAATAGTATAACTTTGATTTAAAGTAAAATTCAAACACAAATTCAAAATATGATATATTAATATGAAAATATTATTGAACGATATCTTCTTTTTTAAGTTTTAAATTTACGAGAGGGATTAATCAAGCTCTCCGAAGCTTTGGCAAAAATTAAGTTCAAGCCCAAGATTTAATTTTAACTATTTTAATATTTTAAAACAAGTTCAACTTAAATAAAATACATCAAATATTTATTTGGGAAAATGGGGTCAAAGTCCAAAATTAAACGTTTCTCAAGCCCAAGTTATCCAGGCTAGCTTTCTCATCATTTAGAGAAAGAAACCTAGCTCTTTAATTCCAAGTTAATAGGCCTTATATATCAACTTGGAATTGGACCCTGATGGCTCACCCTGGACTTCCTTTGGAGTTCTAGCACCAGATCAAAAAATGAAGTAAAATGACATGTTGTATGAGAACATAAACGAACACACATAAATAAAATTACACGTTACAGTGTGTACAACTTCTCACATAATACAGTAAGTATTAAAAAAAAAACAGAACAAATTAAGCCTAATTATTTTTGTCACTTGCAGTTTAGATCTTGAAGATTCCTTGTTGACAAATTGAATGTGAGGGTACAATTCATCTCTGGGGATTTCTTTTTCCTCATCACTTTCATCAATTCCACTGTCAATACATTGGAACTCAATTCAGAGTCTAGCGCTGTATTGGTTGTCAATGCCCTGGAGTTTACTTCCACTGTGAAGTCCAATTTTTTGGTCGAACGAGCTCTGGCCGTGGCCTTAGGAATAATTGCCTCCCCTACTATTATACCATTATACAGGAATGTCATAGTACTGTTATCAAATTTGTAATGACTAAAATTGGTGTTTTTTACCGTAACTTGGGCGATGAACTTGAGGTCAAATGAAGCAGCAGCTACGGTGTTATTGATTTCCATTGTTTCAATGTTCACTCTTCCAATTCTCACCTTTGGGTTCTTAACGCGCAAAACAGCAAGTACAAAAACAAGGATGATATATATATATTTGGTTCTCTTCTTTCTTTTCAGCTCTTTGGATTGCAAACGGGAGGCTGATTCTTCATCACTTCTCGGGTGATCGTTAGCTGGTGCTAGGGGATGCACTTGCTGCTCTTTCTCTGCCATTCTTCACTAGCTAGTAAACTGAAAACAAAATAAGTATTCTCTTGATGTTTAAGCTGAATTGAGGAAGTGGATCGAGCAGGTTATGGCAACCTTAGCAGAGCAAGCTGATATATATATATATATATAGTACACATGATTGTCAGACAAATTCCTGGAAATGGGAGTCAAACAAAGTAGGTATCGTTTTTTGTTCAAACATTAAACGCGTGTAAGGTTGGACTTTCTGACATGCATTCTAGATGGTCTGGTGACTTTGTTAAATGGTAGTTTGAGATTAAAATATCAATAGGAGTCTCTGTTCTATTTGTTAATTGGACTAAGACGATGCCACATGTTTTACCTGGGCCTATGGATGGAGTGCACAACATACTCTCCGCCAAGTCTTTTTTTTTTTTTTTCCTCTTTTGGTTAAAGGTTAGAAATTCGAAATCATCAATTATGAACTTCGTTCCTAAACTAATAATTTATTGATCATGCCATTTTCCTTTTTAATACTATTACTTTTTTCTTTAATTCAAAAGTTTTCCTTTTCAATCAATAAAGAAGATAATAAATTAATTCATTAATTTAGCAAACAATTATTGATATTAATATAAAATTTCTTTTCTTTAAATTTTTTCCTGACTTGAGAGACTAAATAGTCTATTTATCTTCAATTCTTTTTATAAAAAAAAACTTTTATATAAGTTTTATTTTTTGCTTATATTAATGAAAATAGAGGAATACACTTGAAATAATTTACTTGTGTGGAGTGTGGAAAATACATGTCTATTGGCAGGCATTTAGATATTGAGGTTTTTGGACAATGTATATTTGACAAAAAACTTAAAAGTTTCTCATCCAAAATTAAATACTAAAATTTTAACTGAAGCCACAAAGATGATAAATGAAAATATAGACATCCATTTGATTTGGAGCATTTTAAAATTCTTAGACTTATTAATAAGATTCAAAAAAGGAAAAGATAAGGAAAGTTTGAAATTTGAGAAAATCTTGATTAAACCCAATTAAAATTAGAATCAAATTACTAGATAAAATGCGAATTTAAATCTTTAATCTAATCTATACCAAGACTTAATCCTAGAGACCAATATCCACAGGGGGAACACAAAGAGAAAAGGGCAGAAACAACAAGCAGTGAGAAAAATTCTTAAACAGCGATAGAAGCTTTTGAGTAATTTATTAAAGTTTTGAATTTAATTTGAGAATATGTTTAAAGGATATGAGTTGAAGGAAAAGAAACGGAGGCAAAATTTGACTTTTTTTTTTTTTGAATTTTTTTTTGTGAAATTCTAAAAAGATTTTGGAAAGAGATGAATTTTCTTATAAATGTTTAAAGTTTTAGGTGTTATTTTTCTAGTTTTCAAAGCAATTCCCCTATTTTCGGTGCATTAGTCTAGAGAAAGGGAGAGACAGAAATAAGGGTAGAGAGAGAGAGCTGAAATATAAAGTTAAAAAATTGATTTGAATCTTTAAAAACGTAAAAAAACAATGTTGTTCATGGGAGAATAAGATTTCTGGTCGTTTGAAGGATCCGTGCATCAACCCATTTTTGAACTCGATCCGGTCACAATCCGCTCTAAATCTCAAGTTGTTGTGAGCCATGCAAGCTCAGCCGCTAAGTTTCTAAGCCATCCCTGAGTCTTGTGCTAAGCCAATCTTTTCTGTTGAGTCAAGCAAAGTCAAGATATTTTTGGTATCTTTTTTTAATTTTTTTTTGTTTATTTATTAAATTAATATTTTTATCTTTTATTTATTTATTTATCGGATAAAACTTTTTAATTTCAACAAAAAAATTCAAGGAAAAAGTTCAAATATTATTTTTTTCCTTAAAAAAATAATTTTAAAAATATAAGAAAAAGTTAAAATATTAATTTTTTTTCTTGAAATAAAAATAATTTCAAACTTTGAGGAAAAAGTTGAAATAACAATTTTTTCTTAAAGTGAAAAATAATTTCAAATTTGAAAAAAAAGTTAAAATATCAAATTTTTCTTAAAATAAAAATGAATTAAAAAATCTGAAAAAAATTGAAATATCAATTTTCCCTTTAAAATTATTTTCAAAATTTTGGAAAAAAAGTTGAAATATCAATTTTTCTTAAAATTAATTTTTTTCAAAAATTTGTAAAAAATAAAATAAACGTTAAATAATTTGATAATAGAATTTCATTAAAAGAAATAATTTTTTTTTTATATACTCTTGAAGTGAAAATTTTTTTTGAAATTTCTACAATTAGTTAAGAATAATTCTCAATATAGAAAATTCTCTTAGGGCTTAATGGATAAATGAAAATAGCTGGCATCATCATTTAATGAACATGATGAAGGTATTATAACCTTTTTCATACTAATTATACTTTTAAAATTAGCTTGATTTCATAGATAAGAATTTATTTTATAAAGATAATCGAGTCAAGCTTAAAATTTCTTTTAAAATGTGACAAGTTTATTTAAGTGAACAATCACATTTAAATAAAAAATATTGATGACCATTCCTAAGTTATATTTAATGATAAGTTTAGAAACTTGTACATTATGACAAAAAAGATACTCCTTCTATCTTGCTTTCTTTATTCATTTTTCCTTTTTTAGAGGCCCCAAAATTATGTCTTCTCTTTTTTAACATCTAAAACTCTTTAACTTTTTATATTTTAAAGTTATTTTTTATGTTTTTTTTTTACTTTTTAATAATAAAAATCATGAAACTTTAATTTTATAAAAAAAATTAATTTTAATATTAAATACGTTAAAGTCAAAACCTTTTTTTTAAAAAAATTTTATGAAAGCCAATGCAAGACAAATAAATATGGACCGAGGGAGTAAATAAAATTAATTAAAAGCATCAGTGAAGTTGGTATGTTGCCAAACATGGAGAAAAGACAATAAACATTAAGGACTTTTGATCAGTCGATTACATATATCGTAGATATAAAAAATCCCCACAGTTGCACAAATAATTGGTTTTACATGTCATATTCACGCTTCAAATCCTATACATTAACGGTCTACAAAAATCTTTTCCATGTTGCAGCACATCAAACCAGACTTCTTCATAAGATCACCTTCATCTAATACACCTTCCAATCAACCAGGCCAGGCCTGGCTGCTGATCAGCGGTAAAACAATAGAACTAATGTCACTTTCAATACATTTGCTTGATAATAAACTAGAATTAGTATGGACAGTACTGCGAATGTAAACTTTTTTTTGTCTTTCTATTCCTTGTAGACTGCGTCTCTCGCTTGGCATTGTGACTGTGCTTTCTCATACTTTAAAATTTTCAAGAAACTTTTGACCTCAATATAATTACTCTGCTGCCTTGGCACTTACATTGTCTTTTGACTTATTTCTATTTCTATCTCTATTTTCTTTTGCTCTCATGCTTTAGCTACTATAACATATAATGACTAAATCTAGGATAAAAGTCGTTAGACAACTTTGTGTGAACTAGTCAGGATAGTTTAATCCTTATCACCTGAAAAATTAACTAACAATTATAATGAGTTCAATTCCATTCAGAGTGTCCCATAATCACTGAATGCAAGACACTTATTTGCAATTGCATCAAACATATAGAAAAAAGGGGCTAAAGACCACAATTGGTTGGGCTTTGTTCTACTCGGTAGTCATTTTTCTCATCTTTTCTCAATCTGTTTGATGCAATTATGGACAATTGTCTTGCCTTCGGTAATTATGAGGCACTCTGAATGGAACTGAACTCCCTATAATTGTCAATCAATTGTCAGATGATAAGGATCAAACTGTTCTAACTAATTCACAAAAACTTATCATACGAACTTTTGATGACTACAAATATAATCTGTTATATCATTTTTTTATAATTTTTTATAAATTTATGATTATAAATATAATATGTTATATCATTTTTTTTATTTTTTTGGTTTGCATATATTCTATTACTAATGTAATTTTTTTTTACAACATTTTTTTCGTGATATATTTTATCACTATTGGAATTTCGTCCTTATAAAAAATAATAATTTTTAATTTATTTTTTCTCACGTATCTCTTAATTTTTTTTCATATTTTATACAGTAATTTAATTCCAAGTTAATATAGGCCTTATATATGAACTTGGGATTGGGCCCTGATGATAAGCACTGGACTTCCATTGGAGTTCTAGCACCAGATCCTGCGTATTCAACCAAGTGACCCAACCCCAAAAACAAAAAAATCATAAATGTTAAAGAAAAGGAAGCAAGAACCAAAACCAGTAAGCAAAAAGTACAAAAAATGAAATAAAATGACATCCTCTATAATAAGATATACGTATACACAAAAAATAAAATTATATGTTAAAGTGTATAATTTCTCACATAATACAGTAAGTATTAAAAAAAAAAACCAGAACAAATTAAGCATAATTATTGTTGTCACTTGCAGTTTAGATCTTGGAGATTCCTTGTTGACACATTGAATGTGAGGGTACAACTCATCTCTGGGGATTTCTTTTTCTTCATCACTTTCATCAATTCCACTTGTCCTTTCAACTTGGCCTGGCTGTTCAATGTCAATAAATTGGAACTCAGTTCAGATTCTAACCCTGTAGTGGTTGTCAATGCCCTGGAGTTCACTTCCACTGTGACGTCCAATTTTTTGGTCGAACGAGCTCTGGCCCTGGCCTTAGGAATAATTGCCTCCCCTACTATTACACCATCATACAGGAATGTCATAGTACCGTTATCAAATTTGTAATGACCAAAATTGGTGTTTTTTACCGTAACTTGGGCAATGAACTTGAGGTCAAACGAAGCAGCAGCGGCTCCGGTGTTATTGGTTTCCATTGTTTCAATGGTGACTCTTCCAATTCTCACCTTTGGGTTCTTAACGCGCATAACAGTCAATGCAAAAACCAGGATGACAGCAGTTTGGAACACAGCAAAAGCAGCAATATACACAGCATATTTGATTCTCTTTTTTCTTTTCAGCTCTTTGGATTGCAAACTGGAGGCTGATTCTTCATCACTTCTCGGGTGCTTGTCAGCTGGTGCTAGGGGATGCACTTGCTGCTCTTTCTCTGCCATTCTTCTTTACTAGCTAGGAAACTGAAAA